TCGGATATATCCGGAATCAAGATTCTCGGAACATCTCGAAAATTTTCGATCATTTATGCAGGTAGTTTTCTGTCTTTGAAACGGTCCCTCTATTGAGAGGCTACCACGTGACATTGTATTTTTCAACAATCAAAGTTCATTTGTAAATCTGATAGTAAAAAAATAAAGACTAGGTTGCAGTCAAATAATCATTTATATGTTAGAACCTATTTGCCTTTTGACAAAACATATGTGTTTTTAATAATGCGAATGTTAATCAAATATCAAGTATAATGATATATGAATATTTTAATTCTTGTGTTAGCCCAATATTACTGTATTGTAGTGAGATATAGTCACTAAATATTGTGAAGAACAACAAAACTCTTGAATCTCAATATTTATCAATGGAATCAGTAAAACTCCAAATCAAATTTGCAAAAAATCTACTTGGAGTAAATTCAAAGGCGGTAAATATGTAACAGTAAACTTTGTCCGCCGGACTTGTTTTCCTAGGTAATCAAGTCCGTGACCATAATTTTACTAGGAATGTAAGTCCATGGATAATTTTTCCTAGAAAAATAAGTCCATAGCTAGTAAATTATGTCTGGCACTTATTTTCCTAGGAAAATTTTTATTTATCCGTATTCTCATTTTTTTCTATGAAAAAGGGTCCATTAAATTTTTCATTTCTTTTTAGATTAATCAATATTAAAATTAAGAAAGGAACATTTGTGATTATGTACATAATAAAAGTCTGTGATATCAATTTTCCTATGAAAAATTATATAAAAAACACCCATATTTTGATAAAATAGTGAAATATTAATGTACAACGTTTAAACAATTTAAAAACATTGTTTACATGTAAATTATTTTTTTAGTTACAGATTTTCCTATAAAAATAAATGACATGGACGTTTTTACCTACAAATATTGATGACATGGACATGAATTCCTAGGAAAAATAGCCTGGGGACATAAATTTCTGACATTGAACTAAATTTTATTATAAGATTAATGCATAACTGTAAAACAACATTAAAACATAACAATTAAAAATTCCATTGTTTACATGTAAATGATTTCTTTTATTACATTTCTTATTAAAACAAAGGACATCGACGTTTTTACCTAGGAATATAAATGACCTGGACATGAATTCCTAGGAAAATTAGTCTTGGCACATAAATTTTATTAAAAAATTAATGCACATCTGTTGAACAGCATTAAAAGTAATAATTAAAAATGTCATAGTTTACATGTAAATGATTTCTTTTAAATATGCATTTTCCTAGTGAAATAAAAGACATGGACGTTTTTACATAGGAATATTGATGACATGGAAATGAATTCCTAGGAAAATTAGTCTGGGACATACATTACTGACATCGGACTAAATATACTAGGAAAATTAGTCTGGGGACATAAATAACTGACATCGAACTAAATATACTTGTAAATTTTGTAACCATGGACTTTTTATACTAGTAATATTTGTCTGCCCGAACATATTTTACCAGGACTTATTTATCTCTTACAAATACAGCTGTATTAGCTGAATTGGGAATGTGCCCTATTTGTATACAGGCCCTAAAGTCTTCTGTAGGATTTTGGTTGCATATTTTAAACTCAAATGAAAGAAGAGTCTTTATTATATAATGTTTATCAAGTTAACAACCAGTTAAATGATGGATTTGCTTCAAAAATTAAAATGCTACCATCTAAATTGAATTTCACTCATGTTTGGGAAAATCAATGTAACTTTTCTAAAAAACAATGACTTTCAGCCCTAACGAAAAAGTTCAATAAAAATTACAATATATTTTGGACAAATTGTCTCTTTAATGATGATAATTCAATAAAAGGAAATAAACTAAGAACCTAAAGAAAAATTAAAGTAAAGTATGAACTTGAAAAGTTCCTTTTATTGAAGTTAGATAAAAATGTTGCAAAAATAAGAATAAGTAATAGTATGCTATCTATTGAACGTGGTCGATACAGTAAAACAGCCTTAGAAAATAGAACATGTCCCTTATGCCATATAGAGGTGGAAGATGAATTCTATTTTATAATAACATGTACAGAACTTGATAAACCTAGGATCAAAATGTTTAATGAAATTTCTAATATTGTTTTCTGTTTTGATTCAATGAGTAATGAAAACAAATTTGATTTTATATTTTCTTGCGAAGAATGTGATATATTAATTATCATTGTTAACAGTATAAGTGAAATGTATAATTAGAGAAAAAAACTATAATGTCAATACATGAACTGTGTATGATTCATGACTAATACTATAATATATAATCAAGATATTTGAAGTGATAACTTTATAGAGGTGACATGTTGTCAAAAATAGTATTGTAATAAATTAACATTTTTTTCAATGCTACATGTTTGTATTGTTTTGCGTCTATCGTTTTGTTATTCATGTGTTTTTCTTTAGTAACAATCCTAATGTTTGGATTTTAAACTAATACAATTCTTATTCTATTCTTATTCTTTGTTACTAGTAAAGATAATGTTATAACCGCCAACTGAGTGTAAAATATGATTATTGATTTCCTTCAAGTGGAATCATCATGATCATAGTATTTTCTTTCCAAATAAATTCCTATATGAAAAAAACACTTTTAATAACTATGCTTATTTATTCGAGTTCCGTAGTTTGTGTAAAATACTATTTTTACTTTTACCAGAGCATAATCGTTGTGTCATAAAATACTCAGTCTGGGTTATACCAGTGATCAATGTTGATATCATCAATGAAAAATATCATATGGTCACTTTTATGATTTGTTTCACCATTACATAACGAGTGTCTCCATAATAGCTGGATACATATTTTAAAGTGTGCCCCCTTCCAAAACAAGATTTCACTCATAAGTAGCTGGATACACATTTTATAATATGTTCCCTTCCAAAACAAGACTTCACTCATAAAAAGCTGGATACACATTTTATAATGTGCTACCTTCCAAGTCCACTCATAAACGGTTGATTCAATATGATCAGACTATGATGTAATACGACATGTGTCACATTAAGAAAAGAAGTGTTTTTATTGGTGTTTATGTTTCCTATGCTTTGAATAGGACTGGTGTTAGTGTATATATAGAACTAGATTTGGGGACAGCGGTAATTGTAAACCAGAATAACAACACATAATAACCAAAAGTTTTCAATTAATTCCAAGTTGTCTCTATGATATTTCCCAATTTGTTGAGGTACAGCCAGCTCTACATATACTTCCAAATACATATAAGTACCTTCTTATGTATAACGGACGGCTTGACCATTTAGCAATTAAGAAATTATATAACTGATGACTGGGTCTATACAACTATACAGGAAAGAATTTGATTTTTCATAGTCACTCTGGTATTTGCATCCATAATTTTCTATAATTGGTAGTTGGAATTTAACTAAAACCCTTCTGCTCCTGGTTTTATTGATTTATGCTTTAACCTTTGACTTTCTATGGTTATATTTATGATTTTTCATGCTGTGATTTAATACATAGTGCAATTGTACACTGTGACAGCTGATTTATTTATGTTTTTATAATATTTTGTCATTTTTTCTGGGGTAATCAAGATAAGAAATTTAATAGCAATTTACTTACTTTGGAGTTCATGCGATTCCATCGGGTTTTGTTTTTACATTGATTTGTGTTCTGGGTGGATTTATGAGATCGGTAAACTACTGTTGCTTCAAATGTATTGTAGGTCTATCACAATTTTCCTTACAAATAAACTCAGGTTAGGTGAGGGTTGGGCGCTCGCAAACATGTCTAACCCCGCCACATTCTGTATGTGCTGGTCCCATGTCAGTAGCCTGTTATTCAGTGGTTGTCGTTTGTTGCTGTATATCATATTTTCTTTTCGTTCATTATGTTGTTCATAAATCAGGCCGTTAGTTTTCTCGTTTGAAATGTTTTACATTTGTCATTTTCGGGGCCTTTTATAGCTGACTATGCGGTATGGGTTTTGCTAATTTTTGAAGGCCGTACGATGACCTATAGTTGTTAACATCTATGTCATTTGGTCTCTGGTAGAGTTGTCTCATTGGCAATCATATACCCCATCATCTTTTTTTTATATCATTATAGATACCAGAATTAAAATTGTGTACGCCAAACGCGCGTTTCGTCTACAAAAGTCTCATCAGTGACGCTCGAATCAAAAAAGGTTAAAAAGGTCGAATAAAGTACGAAGTTGAAGAGCATTGAGGTCCCAAAATTCCGAAAGGTTAAGGTAATCTATTCCTGGGTAGAATATACTTAGTATTTCTGTAATTTTCAAAGTTTTGTAATCAGTTAACTTATGATTACGACAATATCAATGAGAATTCATGTCAACACAGAAGTGATGGCTACTGGGCTGGTACTTCTTGCTAATTTTCGTCCATTGGGTTTCTTAATATTTTTATGACATCTTATTCAACAACTTTAACTATCATATTGTGACTTGTCTTAAAGTTATATGATAGATTTCCCAATGCCACAATATGTCAGAACACGTAAAAGAGTCTACTTGCTATCGATTACTTGATTTAATCTTCCGACTTATGTAATCAATCAATTGGCTTTATCGGAAGATCTTTTTTACTCTTATTTTAGTATTCGAATATTTAAATGGTATTCGACTATCTACTTGCTATATTTTTTTTATACATTCAGAGTTTTCTTGTGTATGTTCTATATTGAAATTAACGGAGAACACAAATAGTATGTTGGTTTTTGGCGGAAATTCGTATTGCTGAATAAATTTACTTTAAAAATTATTGTTACGAGTCGTCCTCTCCTGCTTGTGCATAATCCTGTCTTGTTGGAGTGTGACTTGCATTCTTAGTGTAGTTTCAATTTTGATTGTTTGGATTGTTACTTTGAGCAAGTAAATCCATATCTTTGACCCATTATTTACTACAATCTGATATTACGTTTAGCCTTATTTTCAATACAAAGGTAATGTAACGATTCATGTTTATTGAATCAAAGCATTATACACAAGGCAAAGTGTGCATGCATTTATTCATATTGAAATCTAATTTGTCTGTACAAATAAGTGACTGTTTGAAATCCATCGCAGTGTAAATTCTCCTGCGTGAAGCAGTGGTAAATGTCTATCGTTTGAACTTATTTCATATTTCCCTTTGATGCATTCATCGTTTGCTCTCTGTCCATTATATAGAATACTGATAGTTCTGTTTCTAGTAAAACTATTGGCTTTTATTGCAACTGTACTATTCCCTGCACAAAATCCTCTGAAAACGAAATTTCCATAATAGCTGTCATTGCCGGTTCCTTTGATTTCTCCGTTATCTGGTTGTGAAAGAATGTCAACATACAATTCACTGTTCCCTTCATATAAATCTCGATGACCTCTCCATTGGCCTGCTTTAGCACCAACATATTTCTGCAATTAATCAAAATTTTTTAAAAAGTTTTTTTTCTAATCTATATATATATAGGCAAACAGGGACTTCTTTTAAAAAAAAATCTTCTGACTGACGAGGAGGCGAAACTAACAGTCAAAATCATGAGGAAAAGAAGGGAAAACATTTTCTGGTAAAATGTCTCAATTGTTTATTGATCTAAAACTATTATTTTCAAGTTTACTCCGCATTTTCGAGTAGGTTCATAGAACAATTATACAAAATGGATGAGCTAATACGTTTTTTTTTCCCTATTGGACCGGGCCGAAAAGCTGTATTAAAATTAACAGGGCGATTTCATTAGTATTGCACAAGCTTATTTACCAGTATTAGGGCTGATTTCAGGGGCTGATCCAACCATTTATAAAAGGGGGGGGGTTACAACTATATGTCCCCATTCAAATGCATTGATCGTCAAAAAAAGGGGGGTTCCAACCCCCGGAACCTACCCCGCCCCCCCCTGGATCCGCCACTGGATTGGATGATATCATTTAATAATAGTATTGTATGTACTATCAAACTTTATCTGTATGTTTGTTTGAATTTTTAAGTGAGTTGTGTTTTTATGTCTGTAATATACCGGTATGTTTACACAGTTTTGGGCTCTGGGTCCAAATTGTTGTCACGTTAACCAATTATGCCTGTTTGGTTTGCTCACCCAATTTTGTTAATATAACGGAACTAAAAACAAATGTCACACAAGTGGGAGATTTAGCTAGCTGTGAAACAAGGTTAAGCATACCATTTTCTTGAGAAAATGCCTGTACCAAGTCAAAAATATGACAGTTGTTTTCCATTCGTTCCGTTGGTTGATATAGTCGAGCGTTTGATTTTATGTTTTTATGGACCTTCCCCTTTTTCGAGTACGTTTTTTTTGTTAATATTTCTTTGGTCAAGTGCAAATTTTCGTTTTTAAGAATCAATTTTTTTTTAATCTGCTTGGGAAAAGGAGACAGTCATGTTTGTATTTGCACATTCTGATTACTTTTGGGCGTTTTGCATTTTCAGTAACAAACAATTTAGGAAGAGAGAAAGAAGATACCAAGGAGGAAATACAAAAAACAAAACTCCTATAAAAAACAGACAACACCACGACCCTCACTACGTAGGTTAACACAGGTGCACCGGAAGAAGCACCGTCTCTCAAGAACATATCCATATAATAAATAAGGAGATGTGGTATGATTGCCAATGAGACAACTATCCACCAAAATTCAAATGAAGTTGATGTAAGCCATGGTCATCTGTGACACTCTTTATTCTTCTTAGGGAGCTCCCGAATGAAGTTTTCCTCCTAAGAATAAAGGAAAAGGTCTGAAAGCAGAAGGGCACAGTTGATTCCTATACGAATCCCGGTAGTCCGTCGAAAAACATGTCCTCTGAACGTGAAGAATAAGTGTGAATAAAAAAACTCCACCATCTTCATGATTAAAGTTTAATTGTAAGTTTTGTTTGAACATTGATTTTTATTTTACATATATGATATTTGTATCTGTGTAAGTTAGCAATTCGGATCCATGAAACAAAGCTGGATAATTTTTTTTGGTTTGGCTCTAAGTGTAGAATGTGGTATACTTGTGTGAAGAGAAGCTATTTTTAGATTGCACATATCTATTCATTGGTTCACACCGTTCCTAGAGTATATAATTTTAGTATAACTCTTTAGCCCAGTTTTAATGAAAATAGAAGTTAATAATTTGGAAAGAGCTTTCCTTTAGCACTAAGAAGAAATGTCTCTTTCATTACACAGTCTGTCTTAATTGAGTACAGTTGTATGCAAGGTCTCGTTTACAGAACAAAAATCGGATTTTAAAAATCTGTATTTTTAAGATAAAATTGAGAATGGAAACGGGAAATGTGTCAAAGAGACAACAACCCGACTAAAGAGCAGAAAACAGTCCAAGGCCACCAATAGGTCTTCAACACAGCGAGAAAATCCCGCACCCGGAGGCGGGCTTCAGCTGGCCCCTAAACAAAAATGTGTGTTATTTCAGCGAAAATGACCGTCACACTAAACTCCGAAACATATAAATGCACCAAAATAAAAAAAAAACATACAAGATTAACAAAGGCCAAAGGTTCCTGACTTGCGACAGGCGCATAAATGCCGCGGGGTTAAACATGTTTTGTGAGATCTCAACTCTCCCCTATATTAAAAAAACGTGATAACGCTTAGAAAATTAATTTCGTAATGTGTTTTCAATAGGTCAGATCAGACGTTATAGGTTATCAGGCAAAATATGTTTCTCAGTGCCACTCGTAAGTCCAAGGTTGCTACAGAAGAATCTTTGGAAAGGAACAATAATCCTATTGTTATCGAAAAAGTAAGATAACAAAAATACCGATCTCCAAGGAAACTTCAAAAACGGAAAGTCCCTTAACAAATGGCAAAATCAAAAGCTCAAAAACATCAAACGAATGTTAATAAGTTCTTCTAAACTTTATTGCTGAGTAAAGGAAATTTTCTGTTTGGCAAGATTTACTGCCCCGAACGAGCTAGTATCATTGCAGTGTCTATTAAAAGTAACAGCAACTGCAAACATTGGCTTGTTATGACTAGTGTACTAAGACAATTTAAATATTAACACATAGACGATTGATAACACCAGTTCCATTTCAATCTGACTCACCTTTTCTTTCTCTTTTGAATTTTCTAAGATGCTGTCCATGTTTAAGAAATGTATTCCTGAAAATGAACAGAAACACTATAGAAAGTGCTAGATAGCTCATATTTTGTTTTGCTGAACTCGCTTGTTTTACCAACTATGGTCTAATTCAATAACACAAGAAACTCCTGCTTACAACTTCTTATTTTGTAATACTGATAGACATATGTATTTTTAAATGTTACAAATGAATCTGAAACATAGCGACGTTGGCCAACTACACCAGCTGGCAGTGTACAGTTGTGGAGTAATGAAATGTTTTAACATTACACAAGATAATTCCCATAACAATGCTTCCTTATCTTAACAAAACGAGAAATATTAACAAAACTATATAAGGTGTTGTAATGTGAAAACATCCATAAAACAAGAAGTATAAACATTCCCAATGAAGAAAGACATATAGAAACTTACGTCATAATGAAATTGGTACTGAGTATCATTATCTTTTTGAGTGTCAGTTTCCGAGAGTCGTAGATATATGAAATAAACATACTCCGATTACTATACTCGACAACATTTTTCTAGAATTTATAGGTTAATAACTCTATGTATTAATAGAAACAGGTTTAGAAAATATATCAATGTGATCAAAATTGGTTAAAAAAACCTTGTTCATTTCATTGTAATAGCAGTGACGTTGGCAAACTAAATACAAGAGATTTGAACATCAATGATTGATAGCTTACCCTGCACAATAACAACTAAAGGTTCTGGTTGGTAGTTGGAATTGTGTGACGAAGTCTTAGGAGGTAAGGTAGTCAGGCAGATATAAGGTAGCCTATATACCCCCCTTGCGGAATATGGTATAATTATGGGCCCAAATTTAGTATACTTTTATGTAGTTCCGGCAAATTTTGTTTATATTGATATGCCGTGTCAGCACAAATTACAGCGCATTCCAAATTTTCCTTTATTCAAAAATAAACGCTTAATTAACTATGGAGAACAGGTTCGACAGATCTTCGGGTTAACAACACATAAACCAACATATATTTTGTTCAGCAATTCGACAGGTCAACAAGTCAGCGGGTCAAAAGACACAAATTAAATAGTCTACATTTTAACTAGTTTTTTATCCTTATTATGGAATACTGTCTCGCATACATTATTGTTTACATAGTGTGCTAGTGACCTAATACGATAAATATGGGGTCAGTAAATTCCATGACCCCATATATATCGTATTAGGTCACTAGCACACTGTGTAACGCATTTATCTTACTGACTACCTTAAATTGTGGTATTTAGACTAGTGGTCTATCAAAGTGATTAAGTCTTCAATACTTAGTATCAAGAACCTACTTCCATTGGTCTATTCAAAAACAAATGCCAAAAATAACAACGTGCACTACAAAAGTCAAAAAGTCTGAAAAGACCAGTTTTTGTCTGAATTTGCATGAATTTTTACTCGACATTCTTAATTTGTCTGAATAATTTTTAAAAATTCTTGACATAGTATGAATTTGTCTAATAAGGTTCTTGATTTTTCTTGACAAGTGTCTTGACAGTATGAACATTGTCTTAAAATTTCTCGACACTTCCTGTATCATCTGATAAGAGTCTGGATTAGTCTCGACCAATTCTTGACTGTCTTAAATTTGTCTCGATCTGTCTTGACATATTCTTGACATTCTTAATAATGTCTGAATATGTCTCGACATATTCTTGACATATTAAATAATGTCCGAATATGTCTCGACACATTCTTGACAGTCTTAAATATGTCTTGACACTATCTCAACAGTATAAATTTCGCCTGAAATGTAAACAGACTTATTCTGCACTGTTTATGACATTCTATTGCTATTATATACTCCTTTTTATTATGGCTAAAGTAAACTTTGAAGAATCAAGGATTAATTTGGTATAGTAAGATACCTTTTTGGTGCAACTAAGTTGGAATACCCTGAATAATCCCCCATGTAGTTTAATTTTGATTTATTTTTATTAAACATTTAAGTAATTGTTTTCACTTGGAATATAAGTCGAAGGTATTGACAAACAGCATTTAGATTTTTGCCGTTAGCAAAACTGCCAGTCAAATTTGCTTTACTAAAATAGGTGTCTTGTATCTCTTTTGGACCCCACAATTCATCTTTTGGGTTTGTGTGGCTAAAAAAAGAGGGGGGGGGGGGGGGGGGGGGCTTTCGTTTAGGTCAAAGAATTTGTTCCCATCTTGATTCAAAAACCTTATTCATTTTTTAGAACAACCCAAAAACATTTTTTTTTAAATTTGAGTGTTGAATTTTATAATTTTTTATCAAAAATAAATATTTGTGATAACTCCTTCCTGAAAAGAAAAAAATGTTTAGATCTATATTATGCATGTCTGTTTGAGAACCATTTCATAAGACCGATGATTTCTATAGAAATCATTGATGGGACCCATTATAAATACATCTTTTTTTATTATTCCTGGAGTAGATAATAATTTTCTTTTAATCTTTGGGAATTATTCAATTTGTTTTTATGTTAAAATAATTAACTTCATAATTTTGATGAAGAAAATCCATTTCAATTCAATTTTTTTTCATCAAAATGATGATTTTCATTTTCATCTATCAACAAACTTTTTAAATTGTAGTGGCATGGTCGGTCAACTGATAAGTTGTATGGCTGATTACAGGTAAAGCAATAACTTCTATTTGACAGTTGCGTGTACTCTGGGGTGTGGAATACCTTAATTTTATGGGGAACATCCTGTCCATGTGTAATACTTAATATATTCCAACAGATGACATTACACAAATTTTTCTTCTGTTAAATGAATGATTTGTATATCATCATAATTTGCTATTTATATAAACCACATTTTGGTATAATAATTATTTACCATATCAACATTGAATATTATGAATGTAGAATGAAATATGTCTACAGTATGATTGGTTTGAATCATTTAATTTATAAGATTTAGGAATCAAAATTTGTAATTATTTAAAAACCCACACTGAAATTGTTTTATACTTTAGATTTCATAGCCATATTTGCATTTGTAAAAATATTTATATACCCAAATTTTCAATTATTTTACATGCCCAACTTTTATTTTTGTTGTAAAGAAGTGTAACTTGAAACAACAGTATATCATATAAAGAGAAATAAAGATATTAAAGTTATATCATGAATATTGGTCATGATTTGTAAAACTCAGAACTGTCAAGTAAATTTAAGACACGATTCAAAATGTTCAGACTGATATGTCAAGCCATACTGAGAAAAAATAAGAATGTCGAGAATATGTCGAGAAATTTCAAGACAGTATTCAAATGTCAAGAATTTGTCAAGAAATTTTAAGACCATATTCAGAATGTCGAGAATATGTCGAGTAAATTTCATACAAATTTAATATAAATGAGAATTTGTCAAGAAAAATTAAGACACAAGTCATACTTTTGGAGAATGTCGAGTAAAAGTTCATGCAAATTAAGACAAAAACTGGTCTTTTCAGACTTTTAGACTTTTGTAGTGGTGTTAGCTTTAAATGTGTTTTATGAATTTATTTTGATCGTTCATCATCAATTTCTTCGTCTGTTGAAACCTTTCAGATTTTCCCTCAACACCGTGTTGTTTTTATAAAGGGACGTAACAACCGTGTATTGAAATAAGCCCCGCCTACTAACCCCAATTGAAATATGCACGGTCTCCACGCGGTTGTTTTAACCAATCATATTCCTAGAAATGTATAGGAGGTAAGATAATGAGCCATATACGTGTATTATTGATCGTTCGCAAACCCATTGGAAACCACTTCTGTATATTTTGAATCTTTTCCGGGAGAAACTTATAGAAAAATATAATAAAGGATATTTCTTCTTCATTGTGTTGACCAATAAGCAGAAAAATGGATTTTTGAATCAATGACTGACTCATCTGATGTGACGCATTTTGTCAGGCTCACACTTTTGAAAGCCGATTTTCCAAATTCGCAAATTCGCAAATAATAATATGAATCAAACGAGATTAAATGAGAAATTTAAATAAACCGGACAAAAATTAAACCAAATAGACATCTAGAGGTATATTATTTACTGTACGAATACTATTTATGTTTATGTTCAATGTATCTAAATATAAATCTCAATGAAGTGCCTTAGTAAGACACACGGGAACATTGTCAGACATTGAAATAGATTGCCATAAAGATAAAGGTAATGAAGAGTAATGCATAATTTTTCATGTCGAAAGTTAAAGTGAAATAATAGCTTACTTTTATATATTTATATTTTTTAATCTTAACTGCTAAGAATAGATAGATCATATTCATTTGTTGAATACTATATCTGGAGCTCCATGTGTCTTTGGGGGTATTTGTATTGGGTTGCTGTCTCATTGATCATATATCACAAACTTACTTCTGTTCATACACAAATACCCTTTGTAAAAAATATTTCTGGTGTATTTGTACAATTTCTGTTATAAGATCTAGATAAATTAAAAAAGTCGAGGCATATTTAGTTATCCTCCAAATTTAAGCTTTTTTTTTATATTATTTACCTGGTTATAGAACACACTGTTGATTCTGTTTTTAATTATCCTTATGTGTACAGTTTAGGATGATATGAAAACCATTTATTTACATTTAAAATCAAACAATAAGAACTGTCTTGTATATTTAAATCATAAATTGTCAGGTTAATTAAAATCTTAATAATGCATAAATGTATTGTAATTCTTTGTGAGTACATTCTATGATACCTCTATGATAGATATCCAACTATTAAAGTACGTTTTATGTGATCAGATTGATATTGTATTTCAGTCATGTTAATTATGACTCTTTATTACTTGGTGGTAGTGGAGCGAATAATAGTTACATTAAAAAACCCTTAACAATGAAATTTCACCGCTTTATTCAGAAATATTGGACTGGATAAAATCGGCTGTATGTCAACTGAAATAAATTATATACCTGACCGGATTGTTGATACGATGCCTCAAATTATTAATGTACTATGTGAAAAATTAAAGAAGTTAATAAAAATATCGTACACATATCGTGATTAAATGTTCAGATATCTTAAGTTCAAGTACAAATATCGTAAGTTCATGTTATAACATCGTAGATCTACGTCCCGATGCAAATATCGTTAGTCAATGTACAAGCATCATACATAAAGTTCAGGTAAAATTATAGTAAGTGTTTGTTCAAATGAAACAAATTGAGGTATAAAAAGACAACTTTTGAAGTGAAATTAGTTAGAATTACAAAACCCAATAACCCATACACGTCCATAGAATGAACATCTCCTTCCATAAATACATCATCCGTCATGCATGGCCATAGAATAATTTTCTCCTTTTATCTATACATCACCCATCATGCATGGTCATGTAATAAGCTTCTCCTTCTATCCATACATCATCTGCATGCATGTCCATAGAATAATCTTCTCCTTTTATCTATGCATCACCCATGATAGCCCAGTTTTCATGCAAGTTTACTCTCATACTTTCGGAGATAATGTCAGACGGACGTATTTATACTTATTGCACAACCAAAGCAACAGTCCTCACGTCCAGATACAAAAGATCATATTTGGACCCCCAAAAGAGTTGTTGTAAGTGTTCTGAACGTGTAGAGGGCGTGGCAGTGTACACGGCACATCAGATTTCTAGTCTCCTTTTAAATCGGGCGTGACTTCCTTCTTTAACATCCTGCTCACTAAGACAGCCAGTTATCACAACAAAATTTCAACGCTGGTCACCTACGGACCCCTTAACTTTCCGAGTGTTGTAATTCGAGCACCACTTATGAGTCTCATATAGACGAAACGCTTCTGGTGTACTCAGTAGATTATAAGCCTGGTATATTTGATGAGGGTTTTTTTTTCACACAACAGTACATGATATGGATATATGTTTCGGTAATTAAAGGCCCATATAAGCCAACCAACGTGATATTTCAAAAAGATTTCTTAATGTTAAAACTTAAAATAGAAATAATTAATTGGACACTATCAAATATTTGAAATAGACTTATGATTATATTTCCCGAATAGGATTGACTTGGGATTTAAATACTCTTTGGAATTTTATTTCATTTTATTGTTCATTTATATATTCCTTTGGATAAGAAGAAGGAAAAAACTCCACAAAACAATTTCTGCTTCACGTGTAGCATCTGCATGTCGTGCTGCTCATGACAAGTAAAAAGCCTAGGATACATGCAAGTCAATTTTAGTTTTATCGTAAAAAGTAAAATCACAAAAATACTGAACTCCGAGGAAAATTCAAAAAGGAAAGTCCCTAATCAAATGGCAAAATCAAAAGCTCAAACACATTGATCAAACGAATGGATAACAACTGTCATATTCCTGACTTGGTACAGGCATTTTCTTATGTAGAAAATGGTGGATTGAACCTGGTTTTATAGCTAGCAAAACCTCTCACTTGTATGACAATCGCATCAAATTCCATTATATTGACAACGATGCGTGAACAAAACAAACAGACACAATAGGTAAAAATGTCAAAAATAGGGGTACAGCAGTCAACATTGTGTTATCATCTTAATCACTATAAAAACAAACAAATGTAACAAAGAAGCACAAAAAGGCATACATCAAATTAAACATCCTCATTAAGCTTTTTTATTATACGATTTTATTTATCTATGTAAAATCCACTCATAAAGGATTGAAAGATTTTAAGTACTGGCGTAGAATCGCGTTTGACGTCACACAGGTAGATATAAAATAATTTTGTCGTTCAAAGTATGACGGGATACATAAGTACAGAGCCACTTCAAATGGATATCACAAAAACAGACTTAACACCCGGACTTAACAGTAAAAGTAATATTAATAAAGACAAATAAAAGAATACTATAACACGTTAATAAGATGATAAACAACGTCAGTACGCAGAATCTATACTTCAAGACCATCGTGTATTATTTGTGAAGTTGATACGGAAAATTTATCACTGTGACAAGGTCTTGGTACCTTCTTATTATGAACTTTTTTAGAAAAAGGACGAGACGTTCTTTGACATACCCCTGGCGGAGGAAGCCGTGTCTGTTGTTTCTTCAATTTCTAGTTCTGGGGGATATATTAATGGAACCCAATCAGAAAAGGTCGGATTGTTAATGGAAAGTACATCATCAATATATCTGAAAATGAAATTAAAGAACCTGGCTTCTTTGATCTTCTTGTTTTTGACAAGTGTCTGAAGGAATTCCGATTCATATGAAAATAAGAAGAGGTCGGCAAGGAGAGGCCCACAGTTCGTTCTCATAGGAATGCCGACAATTTGTTGAAAAGTCTACCTCCAAATTCAACAAATATGTTGTCAATACTGATCACTTGTTCCTCTGTGTAGCATGTTTTACCCTTTTGTTCACTATTAACAAAATATGCCTTATGGAATCCCAAAGCAATAAATTTATAGCGTATGTTACCATTTTTATGTTGAAAAGCATTGTGGATTATTTTTTTTAGACGATTTTTCAATTTCACATGGGGAATGGTGGTATACAAGGTTGAAAAATCAAAAGTTTTGATAGAACTAATTTCAGAAAAAGACCGAGATAATAGTCAGGAGTTATCTAGTACTCAATATACAATATCACGAGTTGGTTGACCGTTGTCGTAACCACAATCCCGTCCTCTTTTCCCCAAATGTGACCTACCGAAATGAACTGAAAACGCCATGGCAAAAGATCAAAAGACAAACAACAGCATACAAAACACAACATAAAAAACTAACAACTGAGCAACAAGAACCCAACCAAAAACCGGGGTTGATTTGATGTGCTTCGGAAGGGTAAGCAGATCCTGCACCACTATGGTACCCGTCGTGTCGCTCATGTAAGTACAAACCCGGTGATAAGACTAATTCGTTAGGTCACGTTCGAGGAAAAGAGGACAGGATTGTGGTTTTGACAATTAGAACATATCCATCGTCATCTGTAAAACAGATATTCCATAACGGTCAACCAACTCATGATGGCGTCCGTAAATTTTCAAAGTTTCAAAGTTTCACCAATTGATAATGTCAATGAGAAAGTAAGTCAGAGTCCAGTGACCTCCCATGAACCATGATATAGAACGATGCAGCGGCTACAATTTATAAGAAACATCCGAGGTCATAAAGCGTAGTTTATATTGACCTACACAAACATAATACTGTTAGGAAGCACTAAAAGGATTTTTAAGTTTAATGAATTTAAAAATTATTTCAGATTTTGCAAAAAAAAACAATTGTTACTGCATTCTTTATCAAGACTTGCCTTATACAAACCAAAATACGATAGACAGAGTTTTGCTGTTGTTGGTGCTTTCCTGTCGAATACCTGATATTTGTTTTCCAGTTTATGCAATTAGCGTGTATTCATTTTATGCAGATCGGGGCATATATTATACAGTCTCGATAAACATTGTTTCTCATTTAAAAGATATTTTCTTACTGCTTTTCATTCATTGTTGACTTTGCAGGTTTTACCTCTATACTCTCTGTACAAGGTTTGTATAATTTTGCAGCAAATAATAAAAATACTATTCCAATGATTTTAACACATATCCACCAAGTCATTAGACGGGTAACAAGGTCATATTTTCTATAAATCCAACTAGAACCTTTTTTACCACAGGTATCTTGCCACAAATCACACGAACTATCAATTATGGCACCCAAAAATATAGGACCAGGCGTAGTACCTGAAATAAGTGAAGTTTTAAATGAAAACATTTAATTAAGCGATTTACAAAGTGAAACAAAATAAACATGTTTTACTTGATCATTTAAGTCTTTTATCATTTTATCAGAATAAAACTGGTATTATAAATAAACGCCAGAATAGTTGCAAGCTTAAGTCTTGTTTTTACCAGTCATCAACTAAAGTACAGAAACGAAATACACGTTTCGGAGGCTTTCATTGCAACACTCCGTCTTGTTTAAAATGCACTTATCATTCCCGTGTTACTAGAATATAAACGTAGTGTTTAAAATTCCATGAGAAGAAAAGATCAGCTAGCGCAGAAGACACAACTTGAACACAGTGAACGTATTGCAAGCCATGGTATTTCAATAAATATAAGCCGACCAAAAGTAGGGAGAAGGGCATTTAAACTGCTTAATCTCGTCCACAAATGAAGTTTCAAAATTAAATTTACAAATACACAGAAGAGACAAAAAATACAGAAGTATACAGTGATTAAGAAAATATTTAGACTCGGCATAATTTTTAAGCTTTTGGCCCGAGAACACAGTTATTTCGTACTGCATTTCTTTTAGACAATAAATTCAAATTAAAAAAATCACCCCAGCTCTATCCCAAAAAGATTTTTACAGAGTAGTGTACTACTTTTGGGACAAATAATATCAAAATTATAGAAAAGTCTACCAGCTCTAACTCAAAATATGGACAATTGTATGTTAAGGGGGTCTATAATTCAGTTTGACAGCTTCAGACATACTAATTTTTTACCTTTTTTAACTGGACTAAATCACTACTTTGCATAAAAATATTTCACCAAAATTTTTTTTAACATGTAATTTCATCCCCTACTTAATATTTCATGCATAGAATATAAAGAAAGAAATTTGAAAAGTGTATGAAAAAAATTTGCAAGTTATACACTGTCCACACTAAGGACTATATTTCTAATTTTCACAGAACATGCTGGCATATTTACTTTTGAAACAACATCGAGCACTTTTGAAAAAAAAAAATAGAATATTTTTTTAGAGGATATTTTTTTTCATAGATACACATTTTAATTAAATATGAGGTTGTTGGATCTTCTCACGCTTTCCTTCTCAAAATCTATGTAAATATTGGTGCAAGACAAGAACAACAAGGAAAGTTGAAATTAAGAAATGTGGTATGATTGCCAATGAGACAAGTATCCACCAGAGACCAAATGACGCGGATGCTAATAACTATATAATAGATTACTGTACGGCCTTCGACAATGAGCAAAACTAATGCCATATAGTAAGTTTTAAAAGTCACCTCCATGACAAATTATGAAACATTTCAAAAGAGAAAAGTAACGGTATAATTTTAGCTAAAAAATAAAGGAACCCAAATATGGAAGACAACAAATAACGCTGCCACTGAAATCGAGCTCCTGATTTGGACAGACACATAAAGCAAGTGGTGGAATTGAACATGTTTTTGAGCGTTCACTCCCTTTCCCCTAAAAAAAACCCAACCTGACAAGCGGTGTATCAGACACGACAAAACTTAGTTTCTTTACAATCTATTTAAATCTGTAGCAGGAGGTGTTCAATTTGAGTACGGTAAAACACTGAAAATCAACAACTGTCAGTCAGATTTGAACTTCGTTAGCATTTGTTACATTTAAGATATCATTTTTCATTAATCAATTCAAGGAAAAGGTAGTCGTACTCTAGATGACATTATAATATTATGACAATAAGAGAAGAGAACGACTAACGTGGGATTAGAGTTACGTGTTTGTAGTGAAATCTGGTTATTCTGGTTAGGAAGTCAAAACTACGAACATATTAGTTATAATATTAATGGACCGATAAGTTAAAATTTTTGTATGCTTTTAAATCAAAAATACAAACCTAATAAACGAGCTGCTAAACACTGTATAGCAAATGCAAACGATCGTTGTTTTTGTGAGACACATCTGGAAAATAAAAACTATCTACAAAAATGAATTTCATATAAAAAAAAATCTTTTAAAAGAATGATCAAAGACACATGTGTTTCTTTCTCGAGTGATCTGATTCCATATGAAGAAAAGGAGATGCGAGACAGCAGTGTCTTCCTGGAAAGCCTACATTTTATAAAATATCTATTCCTCGACTGTCAACAAAATAAATTGAATAGATGTGGTTTTAGTGATTGTGTGTTGTTTTAGAACACAGGTTAAATACTAGGAAAAAGGTAGTTTAAAGGTAAAAATTATTTTGCGCCTTAAAAATTTCACTTTTTTATAACAACAGGAAAACCGTGTCTCGATTTTTATTTTTTCATGAGTTGATATTGCACAAGCTTTAGATTTCTGTTGTTGACTAGTGCGACTTTAACTATGATTTATCTGGGAATAGTATACTATGTCAATATCATCATTATATCCCAGGATTAGTTGAATACTGGTGGATTTTAGAGTTTTGTCAACTTGTATTATGTCCTGTGAATATTTTGGTTTAGTTTCTTGTGAAAATAATACTTCGATACTCTTCTTAGCCTATGACTCTAATAATAACAAAACTAATACTGGGTCTGGACCTGCTTCGCTGCATGCAATTGATTGAGATAACACGTACAGCGGATCAAAATGGATCATTCCCAGACCAAATATTAAAATCCTTCACTTTAATAGGACCCCAGAAACATTTTCCTTGTATAATAAGTGTTATGAAATTTCAAATTATTGGCAAACAGAAAGTGGCAGATGTTTAAATTGCTTACTCGCTACAACTTGTCAGTATCAAGCTGCAGAACAAATATTTTATAATTCCCTTACTAGAAGCGAAGAAAACTTTGACAAAAATTTCCCTTGTACAATGAGTGTTGTACAATTTCAAACAACTATCGACAAACAGGAAGTGGCTACACGGGAGACGTAAAAATTGCTTACTCGCTACAACTCAACATTATCAAGCTCAGACCAAACATTAAATTATTCCCCAACATAGAAGCCAAGAAAACTTTTAACGAAAGTTTTCTTTCTTTCTTTCTTTCGGACGGACGGACGAACAGACGGAAGGACGGAGTCGAGCGGTTATGAGACCTGCTTCATCATTCGGTGACGCTAGTATAAATGAATACAAATATAAAAAGAAGATGTGGTTTGATTGCCAATGAGACAACTCTCCGCAATAGACCAAATGACACAGAAATTAACAACTATAGGTCACTGTACGGCCTTCAACAATTAGCACATACCGCATACTAGTAGTCCGCTATAAAAGGCCCCGAAAAGAAAATGTAAAACAATTCAAACGAGAAAATAAAGGCCTAATTTATGTACAAAATAATGGACGAAAAAAAAATATGAAACACAGCAACAAACGACAAACACTGAATTACAGGTTCCTGACTTTGGACAGGCACATACAGAATGTGGCGGGGTTGAACTAGTTAGATGGCGCCAAACCCTCCCCCTAACCTGGGACAGTAGTGAAACAGCACAGCATAAGAAAAAACTATAAAAATCAGTTGAAAAAGGCTTAACTCAGATGGATACAAATAGAAATACATCCAACAAAAACACAAAGTGGAGGTGGACGGGTACTTGTACAACAACAAAAAGACACTTAGCACAGATCTGAGAGTACTCGCAGTTACTGACAGCTAGTTCAAAGCCAATAACAACTAATAAAAAAAATCACGCATCTAAGAATAAATCCTCAATCAGTACACATCCAACATCCAATGGATTTAGTGTAAAGACGTCATAAACATTCAGAGAAAAACATGACATTGTGCAATGCCAAGATACAGGTATCGACAGATTGTAGAGCCATGAATGTGCATTTTTATATAACAATAATAACTATTCGTATGGTTATATGAAGAATCATAATCGAAATGATGAAAACGGGCTTTGAATTCTTTAAGAATCTTGCAATACCTCCAGTTTGAAAACATTGCATATTTTGCAAGCTAATTTATCTTTCCAAATATAAAGTTCTTAGGTTTTTCGTCGTGTTTTAATTGCTTAACCTTAAGTGTTTATTCCAAAATCATAAAAATATGAATCTTGATGATAATAGTTATTATTATGCATTTAAATCAACTCTATAAACAAAATCGTTCTACAAAAACGATATCTAGACTTTAAGTTGTTCAGTGGTTGTCGTTTGTTGATGTGGTTTTTAAGTGTTTCTCGTTTCTCGTTTTTTTATATAGATTAGACCGTTGGTTTTCCTGTTTGAATTGTTTTTTACACTAGTCATTTCGAGGCCCTTTATAGCTTGCTGTTCGGTGTGAGCCAATGCTCCGTGTTGAAGACCGTACTTTGACCTTTAATTGTTTACTTTTTACACATTGTGACTTGGATGGAGAGTTGCCTCATTGGCATTCATATCACATCTTCTTATTTCTATTTAAAGTAAATTTAACGAATTGAATAAAAATTAAATAAGTAAAAGATTGTAGATTAATAAGTAAGCACAAATACTGAGACGAAAGCCCATACTGAACACCACAAGGTTCCAAATAAGTATTGGCTTCCGGAATTACAAAATATTCCGTAAAACTTTCACTTTATACATTTGCATTAGGTAACTTACGACTGATTTACAAATATTTCGTTCTTCTGACTATCGCTCTTACAACCTATAAAAACACTCGTTATCAAATTTTGTGACAATTTTAAATGCGGTATTAGCTATCTCTGTTGAGTTTTATAAGTTTTGATAAAATACTTTCCTTTGGGGGTTCGTTTAAATCCTTTTTTTTTTCAGAAATTTTCTTAATTTTCCTGTATGAATTTTTCTGCCGAGTCGCCGATATAAGAGATAAGGTCGGCAGAATGTAAGGTACTTTGAGTTTGGTATCAGTAAGTACGAGATGGATGAACATGGTATTTATTGGTATTGTTTTATCTGTGTATTTACTATATATTTTCTATTATACAGTTATAATAGACCAAAGGACTTTAGTTGTATTTTTCTCATTCCACTGACCGCGATAAGGGTCAAAGGAGTAAAAGAGGATTGAGGCCAAGGACTTCGTTACTTGTTGACTTTAGTTTAAAAATCTTCATGTATTTCCATAGGAAATTAAGTTTTGATGGCAGATCTTTGATAGTCTCTGTTAGATTTATTATCCCCCCCGGAAAATAAATTCGAGAGCTTATAGTATAGCTTTTCCATCCGTCCGTCCGTCCTTCTGTGTGTCCGAAAGAAATGGTTTCCGGATGATAACTTGAGATATCTTTACTTGATTGGTAATTAACTTATATAGCTGTAAAATTTAGGAAGAAGGGAAGAAAGCTATTGATTTTGGGTCACTATGTAAAAGGCCAAGGTAACTGTTAATAAATATAGAAAAGTTTTGGAATATGGTTTCCGGATGGTAACTTGAGTTTTCTTAAAACGTTTGCTTAATTGAAATGAAACTTATATTCATATGGAAGAGGAGAAAGAAGACTATTGGTGTTACTATTTTTTGTTGTTGGGGAAAAGTGGTTTCTGAATGGTAACCCGAGTTTCCCTTGATTCATTGGAATACAACGTATACAGATTGAAAGATATAGGAAAAGGAAAGAAGCTTGTTGATTTTAGACTCAACAGGTTAAAGGTCAAGGTAATACAATTAAAGAAATTAAAATATAATCAGCGTGCATAGAATTATGGTGGTAATCCTCCTGCAGAGATTTACTGTAAGATGTCTGAATTGTTGTTTGTTTACTTTTTGTTCAGGCAATATACCTTTCTATTCATATGGTAATACCTGAATGTCGCTGTTACTATTGGTGACATCGTGGCAAAGGTAAACCATAACAGAAAGAACAGTAACCCACAAAACACATAAAACCAGTTACAGTCCTCAGAACAGTTCCCAGATACTGCCACAACTACGTTCTTATCTGCACTGATACAGCTACAATCAGCATAGCTCTGAAATATAAACATCAGTTTAAACTTATAAAGACACCCTTTGGAAGTGGACTAGTTTAATAAACGCTATTACAGGTTGGTTGACCGTTATGGAATATCTATTTCACAGATGACGACGGATATGTTCCAATTGTCGTACCCACCCTTCCGTCCTCTTTTCCTTGAATGGCATCACCAAATGATAGCTTTCACCGACTGTGTAATTGTATGAGCAACACGACGTGTGCCACATTTGGATGAAGATCTGCTTACCCTTCTAGGGCACATGAGATCACTGCTGGTTTTTGGTGTTCGTGTTTCTCAGTCTTAAGTTTTCTATGTTATGTTTTGTAGACTGTTGTTCGTCTTTTTTCGTATTTATCATGAAGTCGTCAATTTGTCCCTGACTTGTGAGTTAGAATATACCTTTGGTATCATCTGTCTCTCTTTTATAATAAACATGTACATAAAAAAGAATAACTGCCATTACCAAAAATATTGGACAGTACAACAGATTACTCTCACCATCAAACACCCAACTCCTCCGAAAAATAAAGTTACAAATAAGGACTAACAACATGTTCAGATAATGTGACTTGGTACAGGCAGAAAATGCGGTGGAGTAAAACCAGTTTTACTTGTGCACAACCCTCCCTCTTCCTTTCTCCATCTAGACCATATGTCATTAACGTGCATAGTGTATAGGGATCACTTTGTCCATTCGTTCCTTCGGTTTTTTTTTCGTCCGTTCGCACTGTAAGTTTTATACTATTGAATTCTAGTAGTCATGCAATATGTCAGATTGTAATAATATGTAATGTTTATCAAACCTGAAATTTTTACCATACTAAAAAGAATCATGGGATAAATTACTATCAAATCAAAACTCAGCCTTTTTTCCAAATTTTATAAAGCATTTAAATTACTGTATAATATATTAAAAAACTTCATATAAAACCGTGCTATAGTTTTGTTATTTTATAACAAAATTTTTGTTGAAGTTTTAAGAGAGCCTTACTTCAGACTTCAGAGATAATCTATTTCTATCTTAAACAAAAACACCACTAAAATCTTTTGACTCTGAACAAAACATTTAGCCATTTTCAATCCCCCTCCTCCCCCAAAAATAATGAAAAAAAAACAATAAACATGTGATACAGTACTAAAATACCAGACATTATTAGATGTAACACTCCTGTAAAGTGATTGTTTTCAATGCATTGCATATATTTTTAAATGTCAGTTTTTGTAATCTCGATTCTCGTTATACTATAGATATATGTTCAGTTACTGAGACTTGGTATAATTTATGACAGATCCAGGAAGCTGAGGATTGAGGTCTCCATATCAAAGTAAGAAGCATACCTTGGTACCATTCAGTAGCATAGTCTCTGTACAACCAGCATGACAGGGTGAGAAGTAAACAGTCTTGTTGAGGTCACAGATTGGTTCATACCCAGCTGTTGTGCAATGACAGTGTATATTACAGCTAGAAACAAGGTCGATCTTATCGCCACTGAAACATTAATGTAATCATAATTAGCATTTGGTTAAATTAATGACCGGCTACATTTGTACATTTTACATTTGGATGAAAGGGGATGATTTTATGGTATTAAAGACTTTTCAATTTGCAAGTAAGACGCATATTATTCTGCATAACTTGTGGTTGCATATCTTTGTTTATTGTGCATAACAATTAAGACGGCATCTGTTTTCGGAATACTTCTCTTAAAAGCACAAACAAGCACATTGTCTAAAATGTTCATCGTATTAATACTTAAGTAATATTTTTTTCTTATGGGTTGTTCTTTAGACCACATGGTTTTACAGTAGCACTATTCTTTTTATTAACATTAAATAACGCCTGTCAATGGTTCTGCTTTGAACAAAATTATAATTGTATTGGGGGTTTTGATTTGCCATATATTGTATATCTATCGTAATAACAATTGGACTGGTCTGTGTTAATATTCATAGCAATCTTAAGACCGTTAACATATTAAGTTTAATATTTGCCTCTTTTACATTTTATGATGTGTATACTTGCAGTCTATAGCTAGTAGATATTCCAGCGACTGGCTGGCTCGGACATGTCATCAGAAACGAGGGAGCAAGTACGGCAGCAAAACACATACAAACACAACAAAAGTAAATTATTCCTTGTAGTCGTAGTTTAAGTTTCTTTACCATGTATCCACCAAACACCATTCCACCGCCGGCTCCAGGAATGCTTATTGCACCTGTATAATTAACACGATGTACATTGGAGATCACTTCTTGTTTTTGTTTGATTATCTTGATCCTCATTGCAGTGTTATGAAGTGTCGTAAAGTAATGCTAAGAGGTGTACTTACGAGCGAATTTAAACAGTTTTCTAAGTGTTCAGGATACACCGTTACCACAACTTATTATACGATTAATCCTGACTATAACACCTGTTTTGGGGATAACCTTCATCATTAAAGTTAGAAACCAAAATTTCTTAATGTCCGGGAAGTTAAACAAAAAAGATAAGCATCGGCGAGCTTAAACTTTGCTATTCTAAATTTTGTATTTGGTTGGTTCTTCTACCTTTGAGTGACTATAAAGATTAACTTATCGAATTTTACTTTTGTTTACTTTTTGAAAATAAAGGCATAACTCTTTCTATAGTTACATTTACGATATTTCCTTTAATAACTACTATAATCACAAATGATTAAAATGATATTACCGATGACCGTTCCAGCTGTAGCCAGGTCAATATTAAAAAGTTGTTGTGCAATTTTCGATCCGAAGGTTGTTACACCACTAACCAACAAAGTTTCACACACACTACTGAGAGTGATGAGAATGAACGTTGGATTCTTTGCCTAGAATACATAATTAAATGAATAAGTTATTGAGTTAAACATAGTCTAAACAAGTACCCGCTCTGACAAACTAAAAATTAAGTTGTAAATTATCAGAGCAAAACTAATGATACAGAAAGAGCATTTTAAAAAAGTGTATTTAGTGTACTAATATTTAGTTTAAAAATCAAATTTGTATGTTTTTTTTTTAATGTAACAAAGTGAATCTTTAGCTACTATTACTACATAAAGCCGTTTAAGCGCATCAAACCCCGATTCTAAAGATTTAGAAAACACAACATATAAAACTTTGGAGAGGACAAACACTAAAAGGACCTAAAAGGAACATATGAAACTGTTTAAGGTCATCTTGCCTGAGAGAGTTTCATTTTGAACTTTAGCACAATTGCACACTTTTACTTTAAAAGTCCTCATCCTTTTGCAATAGTATTAAAATCCTTTAAACAAGTATCCCCAGTATTCACTTGCGGAGGGATTGAATGAACTAATTTGTTTGTGTGATGTGTGCGACTTTTAGGGTTTTGATTAGAGAAGGTCTACAGCTACAGTAAAGACTTTCATACCTTAATCAATGTACAACTAATTTTCGACAGAGAGGGAGTATTTAGAAGTTATCTCAACCACAAAAAGATGATTGAAAGGAGTCCACATTTAACCCCTGAAATTCCAATAATTAACTGTAAAATTCTCTAAGCCTTTTCCACGTTCTTTCCTACCTCGATTTTTTTTTATTTCCACCATATAACACGTAATAAAAACTATCTTAATATTTTTATTTATATCGGCATATATGGAGCATCCTTACCAAAAGTTGAATCGATTTGGGAAAATCTTTGAACTTTTTCCCAAATGACGGTTGTGCAGTTATTTCTTCTGAATTATTGTCATAAGCTTCGGACTTTCTTTCTTTTTGAAGTTCCTTGTAACCTTAAAAAGACAGTTTAAGAGGGAAGTTAGATAACAACATAAACACCATACCTCGAGAATCAACGACTGCGTGATAAAAAAAACAAATCTTTCCAGAAAACAATATCAACGTAAGACACAATACAATTAACCGCTAGTTCGTAAACATGAACTACTATCAGATACAGCAAGTTCTAAGTCGTTTTCTGTGTCTTATGATGACAATACATGCACAAGTTTTTACAAGTAATCCTTGGAAATCCTCCTGTATAATCGACATTAGTATAGCAATGGCATATAGATAAAAAAAATCTGGAAAAAAGTGAACATATACTGAGAACTTCAAATTTCAAAATTGTTTATATAAGTTCCTACGGTGGATAGTTGTCTAATTGACAATCAACCTTAACCCATGTTCTTATTTGCTTTTATTAAATGTATATCATTTCCTGTGGTAGTTAGTTGTCTAAATTCTTATTGATACCATACTGAGACTGGACTATAAGTAATGATGTATCATGATCACCATCAAGAGATAAACCTAAATAGAACCTGGACAATTTAGAGCTTGACATATTGTATGGACACCTGTATATGTTGCCATCTAGATGTCTCGGGTTATTTTCGTCGTTGTGTTGCTTTCTAATTAACGTATGCTCCTGACATTTGCACAACGAGTATCTAAACTATATCCGGAAATGCATTTCCTTTGATAATTGTAATCTGTTCGCTTAATTATTATTATCAGATACTACAAACTGACTTTGACTTCAAAACAGAACAACGGTTGTCGCATGCAATCCACATTGTGATACGGAGCTCATGTTAATTTGTACATATCTTGTCGGACTCTAAATAAAATTTATTTTTTTACTTACCTATATATATGCTCACTCTTTGGTAATATATGATACTACTCTCATTGTTAATGTGCCTTAGCTTTAGTGTTAAGCGTTGATTATTGTGTGTGCATGTACTTGTGATTAATTCATTACACAGTTTGTTTTGTTTTTTTTTTTCATTTTGGGTCGATTTGGTCTTGTATAGTATTTTATCAACATATTGATCAGTCACCGAAATATAATTCCAGTCTTATCAAAATCCTACATATAAAATGCTTCATATCAATTGAGAATAACGTGTGAAATATTTCAAAATGGTAATACACGTTCCCAAAAATCAAGAAAAGACATACAATGTCATGCCCCTCTACTCTCTATTCCTAAAAAAGAAGCAAAAAATTCGTGATTTTTTACTTATCATCTTATTATGTTTATAAAATCATAAAAAAAAAAAAAATATTCCACCAAGTTTTATTTAGATATGGACACTAATAAAGAAGAAAATTGGAAATTATTAATTTTATCTATGAGAATTTCCTGTCTATTGTGACGTACTTTTAAACTATTGCATGCCGGGAGTGGAAATAATTTCATTTAAAGTCTTGTTCGCTAATCATCTATGTATGTTCTGTATCTTCCTCCTTTAGTAGGAACACCACCATGCGTTATGGTGTAAAGGAGGACATTAACACACTTTAACGGTACAGATTTAATGTGAGCATTTGCCTACCCAGTTTCCCAGCCTGGCCGTGACTGGACTTGCTACCAGAAAGTTAACCTTCCCCCAAAATAATCAGTACAATCAGAAGTCCATTACTGTCTAGGAATGGACTTCTGGTACAATACAAGACAATATACGAACACATCCACTTACCTGATTCGCTCGTCCTCAAAAATATGAAAAATGCAAAATATAAAATATAAAATCAATTATATACAAAATAAAAGATAAGGTCACCCCGGATGGCGCACAAGTGCCAAGGCAACGAACTGGAACCCATTAAGGACATACGTGGATTCCTTACCGATACCGCTAAATGCCCAGCTGTTTTCCTAGTAGAGGAAAGCCGAAAATCCTACGATAAAGGATCTCGGAAAGAAACTTCCGATTGATAAGGGGAACAGCTAAAACCCTCAGACATCAAAAAGATTGGTCTGATAGTTTCCCACATGGAAACTGCTAATGTATCCCATCTGACCACATGTCTCAAACAAACCTGAAAATATCTGCAGGAACTTTAAAAAAAAATATATAATCCAAAACATAAAATGTACGATGTAAGGATAGTAATATTTATCCATGAAACAAATTTGACAAAACAATTTCAATGATGTTAAAGGATTCTCTCTGCAAAAATTTTCACGTCCGCTCTTATCGGCATGCTCGAAAAGTATCTAATAACGCAATTTAAAGCGCGTCGATGACTATTTTGCACAGCCATCAACACAAAACAACAACAACTGAGATCCAAGAATGACGGATGTTACGGAATGTTTAGAACTTTACGATCCACTTCTTTCTGAACTGCACTGACTGCATATTAAGTGAGAGGTTTAGATAGCTATAAAACCAGGTTTAATCCACCATTTTCTACATAAGAAAATGCCTGTACCAAGTCAGGAATATGACAGTTGTTATCCATTCCTTTGATGAGTTTGCTATTTGCTTAAGGACTTTCCGTTTAGAATTTTCCTCGGAGTTCGGTATTTTTGTTATTTTACTTTTTGATATATATTTATTCCACTAATTACCTGGAAGTCGGCGAGGATATCCATGAATGGGAAATGAAAGCAAGATAAAGGCCGGTACAGCGATAACAATTCCAATCCACCACGCTCCTACCCATTGTGGATCTGATGATGTAAGAGGTATACTAAAATGAAAATCACAAGGATGTGATAAAAAAACGTCTAAATCTAAACGATGAATTTTGCATGTGCGTTACAAGATAGAATAACTTCCACCAGGTACAATCGAAACCAAAAGTTCGGAAAAATAAAACAAAAGCATTTGATACATTACAATCCAAAAGGGCATAAGCAGAACAGCCTAAACCGTCTAATGTCAGCTTTGCCTCAGTTACACAACGTATGAATTTTAAAAAGACAGAAGGTGATATTGAAAGACTTACTACTACCAAAGCAAATAGTCTGATTTCTTCACAACGATTAATACATTTATATATAAAACGATTTTGTAAATAAAAAGGTCTTTCGGATGAAAAATTGAAAGTAAGGAAATACACAGATTATAAAGTAAAAATTTACCGTATAACAGGCTCCTACCTAAATACGCTGGGTACCGATAGCTTGTAAAACTAACGATAAAATATCAGAAGAATCTTTCTTTTAATGAAATACCAGAGATGCCTGACAAAGTAAAATGTGACAATGAATATATACTCAGTATATAATTGTGTAACAGGGTCAAGATTATCCGAAAAGCTTTGAAAAAAATGTTTCCTTTTAAATGTGTATGTCATTGTTGTGATACTAGAAGTGCTTTTCCTTTCTTATAAGTAGTTGATTTCATATTCTCAAACTGCATTTGAAATAATTTTATAACTATTTTATTTGTTCAAAGAGACCAGGCAACAGGATCAGACACAACGTTTTCTGTTTTCTATGTATGTAAAGTTTTTGAGTTACCCTCTTTAAGCAATGCAATGAAAACGACGAACGGAATATAAAAACTCGTTCCTGATTTCGGTGTATTTATTGTATTTACGGATAATTGGAATGCATCCTCACGATGAGCTCTTCATACACAAGTTGGACTCTGGATTGAGAAGTGAAGATGAACAGCGTAGCTGTTTTGAGATTACATTGTATATTCAACGTGTGCGGAATGGAAAGCGTATGTAAAAATATTTTATCGTGCATGCTATTCAATAGATTTCGTTTAAACTTTGTTATTATCAAGTTTGTTCCGTTCTCTAATAGACAAAGGCAAAAATGAGGAATTTGTTAATGAGAGTCAACAAAAGGGGCGATTAAGTAGTTGCATTACATAGTGGATAGAGAGTTTAACTTTGTCAAGACCTTTGTCAAGACTCAATTTAAAAATAGATATAGCGATATAAGATTGGTCATTAATAAAAGCTAGTCATACATGAACTTACGCGGTAACATCCAAAGTATCAGCGTCAACAAATATATTCAGAAGGTTTCCACCAACCACAAAACCTACTGCTGCACCGATTGATCCTGATGCGAAGATTATACCTAAAATATAAACCCTAGTCATTTAGCACACTATGTTAATGGTGTCTTCTATGTGCATTCGCGTTATCGGTATACTGTGACTTCCATTCTGCAACACTAAATAACAACAGTACATTCAGTTTGGTATGGTTTTTTTTCTATATCAATTCTTCACTTTATGATAACATTATGTATTACAGAATGAATTTTGCATACATTAATTGCATATTTACACATAAATAATAAAACAATTTAAAAGAATTTGAGCAAAGTGTCTGAGTTTTGACAATTTAGTGAGAAAATATTGTTTCAGATGCTAAAATATGAATTAAACCCCTCTTCAAAATCATTTATCTTTGATATAAAACCAGCATGATCCTTAATATTGCTGGATACTTTTACATGGAACGAATATACATAGTTGGTTTAGTGTGCAAGTGTACTGTGACTTCGCATTCGCAATCTGTGACTTCACGTTTTTTATGTACCGTGACTTCGTGTTGTAGTAACATATTGCAATCTCAGCTATCGGTGTTTTCGTTTTGTCTGTCCTTAAACATATAACAGTCGAATATTCTTGAAGATTGACATCCTCTGAAAAAAATACCACGAACTCCGGATAAACACACATGGTTGTAATGGGTTTGCATATGCAAGTATCTCCTCTTGCAAACTACTTATCGAACTTTTGTAACAGGTTGAGGACTAATCTTATCTCATCAGCAAGTCATCCAAGTCTCACCCATTTAATATGGACACTATTTATCACTAAGGCATATATAGAATATCTCGAGTTGAAACCGCTTGTCTCTTTTAGTTCTCTTAAGGCTAAAGATGCTTTACTTTTATTTTTCGTAAATACGAAATTCGCTTGTCTTCAAAACCAAACAGATCATTACCGTCGCAATTTGATCTAGAGGACATGTTCGGTTTGTATGGTCTTCACAAAGGAAAACAAAGGAACAACAGGAACACTGAAGTGCAACAAAAACAAACGCCAACATACATAGAAACGTACTATTATGTTATGTTCTTCTCATATATTTTATGATGGTATGATACTAAACCCCTAACGGGAGGGATTGTACCTGATTTTCATATGACGAAGACATAATCTTTCAATCAGTTTAATTAGGGTCTGGAGCTGGCATGTCAGTAACTGCTAGTAGTCCTTTGTTAATTTATGTATCATTGTCATTTTGCTTAGTTTCTTTTATTACCTACTCTGACATCGGACTCGGACTTCTTTTAAACTGAGTTTTACTATGCGTATTGCTATGTGTTTCTTTATTTTACATTAGCTAGAGGTATAGGGGGAGGGTTGAGATCTCACAAAACATGTTTAACCCCGCCGCATTTTTGCGCCTGTCCCAAGTCAGGAGCCTCTGGCCTTTGTTAGTCTTGTATGTTTTTTTTTTTATTTAAGTTCCTTTATATGTTTTGGAGGTTAGTGTGACGTCCATTTACACTGAACCAGTACACAATTTTATTTAGGGGCCAGCTGAGGACCACCTCCGGGTGTGGGATTTTCTCGCTGCGTTGGTGGCCTTCGGCTGTTATCTGCTCTTTGATCGGGTTGTTGTCTCTTTGACATATTCCCCATTTCCATTCTCAATTTTATTTGATAACAACTGCCATATTACTTGGTACAGGACATTTTAAGAATAAATGGTGGGTTGTAAATTTGACCTTGACAGTACGGCAAAGTTGAACTGTGTGTTGAACCTCCATTTAAAAATTTGAAAGTGGATTTTTCTGAAGACATTAATCAAAGAAAACCCATGGAACAATTAACCCCAAATTTGCCAGAATTGTTTAATTGCATCAGAATATCTCATTTGGCTTACATTATCTGAACTTAGTAATTTAACTACTTCATAAAACAGAAGATACGAATATTGGTTTGATGGAAAAGTTTGCCTTGGATCATTTAAAGAAACTGTGTTATAATTTTAAGTTGTTCGTTTTCCTTCTAGACAATTCTGTTTGATAATGCTTTGCATATCATCCTCGTTATCACTATCATTATTAAATGTATAGACATCAAGTTTATCAATATATTTTAGAATACAGTCGAAATCGGATAAACTTTCGAACATTTTATGTTTTGATGGTGCTGATGATATGTTATTTTATTAACTTTTTATGAGCTGGACTAATTGTTGACGGCGATTTCAAAATTGATGCATTTGTTAATACTTTTCCTGCTCTACGGGTATCGCATGTGAACCAGGATCTGCTTACCCTTCCGGAGCACATGAGATCAACCCTAGTTTTAGGTGGGGTTCGTGTTTCTCAGTCTTTAGTTTTTTGTGTTTTGTGTATATTGTTGTTCGTCTGTTCGTCTTTTTCTTTTTTAGCCATGGGGCTGTCATTTACTTTCGACTTATGAGTATGAATTTCCCTTTATTATATTTCACCTCTCTTCTATTGACATTTATGAAAATCTGTTTCCCATTTGTTTCAACTTCACATAACTTAAATTCGATTTCCAAAATGACTTTATTTCTATGATGAGCTATGGTATGTTTCAGTATGTCTTTCTGTACCTTTCATCGCAGTAATAACAACTGAATTGGGGTCATCGCACAGTGGATTCCACAAAACAAACATTTAAAAAAATGAACATTTCAAACTTAAAAGGTATAATAAATGCTACAATGTATATTCATTTCATGTATAAGTATACAGCAATATTAAAGTCCATGCTTGTTACATCTCAACGATGAAATGAATTGGAAGAGGGATTTAAATCATGGTTTGGCATTTGTAACAATATTTTCTGACTAAATTGTCAAAAGTCTTGGAACGCCATAGAACGTTCAGAAAATACACCCAAATACTTCTAAATTGTATTATTATTTTCATGTAAATATCCAATTGATATATGCAAAATTCATTATTTAATACATCATGCTATTTAAAAAGGGAAGAATAAATATAGCAAACAGAATAAACATACCAAACTGAATGTACTATTATCATTTGGTGCTGGAAATTGGAAGTCACAGTACACCGAGAACGCGAAGGCACATTTCATAATGGACACCGTTTACATAGTGTGATGAGGTATGCCTTACAAATATATGATTATAACCAGTCTAGAGTTTTAAGGATGTTCGCTACTCTGTTTCAAAATAACAAGCTTTTTAAAAGACTGTTCTAAAATGGTAGTATATAAATAAAGGAACTAAAAAAGCTGAAAAAAATGAAGGGTCCGTGTGCTTGTTTTCGAGATATAAGCCATTGAAAATTTGGCGGGAAATGATTCTCTCTAGATTTTTCTTACTTTTAACATTGGCCGCTTTTTTGCTTCAAAAACTATGAAAAAATAACAAGGATTTTATAAGATTTTCAAATATGGCTTTTTAAACTATATGTAATAAGATTATGAAAATAAAAGAAGGGGTTAGCGGGCAAAATTTTTTAATGGCAATACATGGATAAAACCAGAGGATTCCGAAAATCTGGCAAAAATTCAAAAAGAAGAGGAGCAAACATCCTTAAATAGAAAAATGAAATTGAAAAAAGAAAACTTATAAATATCATCAAGTCAACGCGGTTAATTCGATTCTTAACTTAATCACAATGTATATATTTATGAAATAGTTGTTTAGATATGTGTACATGATAAAAGGCGTTTCTTTGAAACAAAATCTGTTTCGCCAAAAATAAAACGATGTCTGTCGTTGCTACAATCTTATAGGGGATTTTATGAAGCTAACGATTATGTTATAACCGTCTTTTGGACGGAAATAGAATAAAGCCGGTAGAGAAAAACAATCAAGGAACTTTACTCCTACCATACTTTATAAGAAATGATGTTGGCAAAGCGCTTAAAGTGTCATTTGTTCATTTATTTATAACATAGATCAATAAGGGGATAACACCTACAATAATTCAGCTGACGGAACTAACCTTAAAACTTGATTGTACTTGCACCTTTATCAAACATACGTTCATGCTGCAATTTTATCCCATTCTAATTAGCAAGTAATTTGCTACAGTTCTTACCTAGCTGTTAATTCTCTATGTTATAATGCAGCGATATAAATGTTCTACAACAAGTCAATAACACATCACATCAAATTATTTCAAGCTATTGGTGTTTTACGAGTTTTTGAATATCCTGAATTTGAACATTTAGACGAGAAGCGTACAAGATCATTTTGAAATGACGATGCTACATGCACAAACTTCTATGTTTTATGTGAACTTACCGGTATAAAATGAAGATAATTTTTGTTTACAGTTTTCGTCTAAGTAAGTAAGGCCTATGGTATATACAGGAACAGCCCCAATACCAAGAAACATTTGTCCCACGATAAACATGGCGTAATAAGTTTTGTAATTATCTTTGATATCCATAGTTGTAGAACATGATATTGTAGTTGTATTTTTCTGATTACAAACATTGTCTGTGTTGTTAGATGAATCTAACAAAAGAGAAGCACATTTTATTATGTATCAATATGGTGTATGACGTCATCATTTAATTGTTTGTTACATTTGTTTGTATTCTTATAGGTACATCATTTGTCCTTTTTAACATGTGTTCACATTACTAATGTTTTGTTTGAGGGTTACATCTGAGATCTTGCATTAAGTGTCGAAATATTTGAACGGAAAAGAACCACTTCAAAAACTCTTCTGGAAATGTCTTTAGCTAACATGTCCTCATGTAGATACCATCTACTCTTTCCATATCTCCAATACTAATCCAGAGTATAGATCTGTACCTTCCTTTCCATTTAAGTCATTTAAGTGTGTATGAGAATACACATGTATTTTTTGCAAATTGACACACGGCAATCAGGAAACAACGCCTTTATTTCGATTCATGATTGTAAAAGACATTCTTTCTCCTTAGTCCATAGGTAAGCAGTATTTGTTGAACATCCACCTTAAATGAGCCTTTATAATTTGATCTTTTTAATTTTGTTAATTGTATGAAATTCATGAAAATTCATGAAATTGATTTGTAGATGGTGTTCTTATAAATGTAGAGTTTCGACTGAGTGGTATGTGTATTATATTCCATCGAGTACTTTTTAAACGTTTGTATTTCACTCCCAGATATCGTAACGTTTTTGGAGACATTAAGCTAGCTCTCTCAAGCTAATTTTGAGGGTTGTTATACTTAAAATTTAAAATGGGTTTAAGGCAAATGACAGTAGATGATAAAAGCAATAGGTATAAACTGTTTGTTGACTTCTTAATTTCTTTTGTGTCGTTGTGTACTTGTTGGCGTATATACCAAATGTTCTCTTTAATATTCGTAGTCATTTGGTTTTGTTTTTGTTCCATAAACGAAAATGTAATGGGTGCTTAAACCATTTCGTTTGAGTTTTCATTATGCCTCGCCTTCGGGGAAGGAAGACATTATTTTTTTAAAGTATAGTGTTTCTTCTTTTACTCTTGGGTGTTCTCCTTTTCATACAACCTTGCATTGTCTAGGTATATATATATTTTTTTATCTTTTAACACTGGTTATGATATTTGGCATGAAGGTATAATAGCGATAATACGGTGTGCCGCATATCATAGCGACTATGACCTTTTACCTCATGGTAAACATACTTGATTTTATGTGGCATTTAGTGTCTGGATTTTTTTTTTTTGTCCTTTGGGACATGGTTGCAGCACCCAAAATCAACGTGTTGCGTTCCATGATGATGACCTCTGACCTTATTCAACCCCACAACCACATATATATGTGTGCTTGCCATAGAAAGTCCTTTTCAATGAAACTTAAGGGTGGTCACTCGGGGTAATGCTTCGCCCCTCATATAGTATACCATTAAATATCTCAAAAATGGTTCCGATCCCACTCTTAAACTAGATATATTCTTAATTACCCTTTACGTTCATTATAGATTTTGCTCCTGTGTGTCGTTAACGGTTTGCCCCTCGTATCATTAATTGTTTAATAGCTAGAAAACTGTCCATATTCCCACCATTAACAATAAGTATCCTTAATGTTCCGACAAGAACGTTTAGTACACCATATTGATTTTTTTCGCTGGTGTTCAAACACCGTCCACTTATATCGTTAATTGTTAAACATATCAAACTCTGTTCAGGACCCGACCACTGAATCATATATATTCTAAACTGCCATGACAAGACATTGTAAGTGCACATTAATTTTTGTGTAGTTTTGGGGATAAGCATACCCCGCCTCCTCGTATAATAGATTGTTAAAATATATTAAAATTAGTTAAGGTTCCCACCCATTACACATATATATTCGTAGATGCCACGACAATACATTTTCAGTATTAGAATATGTTTGTTGGGTATTTCTTTACTGTGATGACTTCTAAACATGAAGGGAAGACATGCGTTTTTGTTCAGTTCCACTTTTTTTAAACACTATATGTCTTGAAATATCCTATTTGTGTTGATATTCTAAAATATTCGAATAGTCTACCTGATACTGTGTAAGCATACCGTCCTCCTATGAATTGTGGCAGAGAAAACAAGAGACTTCCAAATGCCAACAAGGAAATTCCAACTCCCATTATTCTCGGTTTGTGTCGTCTCTCTCCAAAATAACCAACAAAAATCAAAATCACGAAAGCTCCAAAATCGTTAGCACTTGAAATAAGACCCGATTTAGAACTTGAGAGATCGTACCGTTTCTCCAAAGCAGGAATTATAACACTTATCACACCATACACCATGAATCCATCGACGAAATTGATAACACACTGCCAAAAGACGAACCATCGTATAGAATTCATCCACTGCATACAGCTAGAAGAAGACAGTACAATGTAATAGTTACATTTCACATTTCCTGTTATTCCCACAAATTAATTTCTGTCAGGTATTTTGGGATTGCGGTTTTGAATTTTGTATTTCCAATAAAAATAAGACGATAAAAAAAGTAATACAAACATAAACATTTAAAAAGTTTGAAATAACCGTAATCATTTAAACCGAGGAATCATTTAAACCGAGGAATCATTTAAACCGAGGAATCATATATAATACAGCAAAAACATGACATGCGTTACATAAAAGTATCTTACAGTTAGGAGCAATGTTCTTTAATTCATGGCTGTATCGTTTCTGATATCTAGAAACCATGTTCTATTCATGGCTGTATCGTTTCACCGTTCACAGGTGCAACATGTAAAGCACGATCTGCTTACCTTTCCGGAGCACCTGACATCACGTCCGGTTTTGACTGAGTTCATGTTTCTCAGTCTTTATTTTTCTGTGTTGTGTTTTGTTGACTATTGTTTGTCTTTTGGTTGTTTTTCGCTTTTTGCCATGGCATTGTCAGTTTGTTGTCGACTTATACGTTTGACTATCCCAATGGTATCTTCCACCTCTCTTTTAGAGTTAGGAAAATGTTCATTTATGGCTGTATCGTTTCTAATAGTTAGATGAACCCTGTTCTATTCATGGCTGTACCGTTTCTAAGCGTTAGGAACAACGTTATGACTTATTTATGGCTGTACCATTCCCTTGAATGAGGAACAACGTTGTATATATAAAAATAAGGAATGTGGTATGATTTCCAATGAGATAACTATCCACAAAGTTCAAATCAAGTGGATGTAAGCAATTATAGACAACCGTGCGGACTTCAACAAGTAGAAAACCCCATACCGTATAGTCGGCTATAAAAGGCCCCGGCATGAAAAATATGCAACAATTCAATTGAGAACGACCGCCTAATTTATGTCAAAACAATTTATGAAAAACAAATATGACGGACATGAACCAACGACAACCACTGAACTACAGGCTCCTGACTTGGGACAGGCACATGTAGAATCTGGCGGGGTTAAACTAGTTAGCTTGGATAATGGTGTAACAGTACAACATAAGAACAAACTACAAACTTCAGTTGAAAAGGGATTAACTCATGAGAGCGGTACAAAGCACAAAACATCAAACGAAAACACAGACCGGACGTGGCAGAGTTTCTATACATATCCCACAACAAAAAGACACAAAGTACAGATCTTAAAGTACTCGCAGTCACTGACAGCTAGTTCAAAGCCAATAACAACTCATAAAAAATTAATGTATATAAGACTTAAAAATCAATCAGTACACATTCAACATCTAATGGATTTAGTTTAAAGACGTCATAAACAGTCAGGTCAGAGAAAAACATGACGTTGTGCAATGCCAAAATATTTGTCTCGACAAATTGTAGTATCGTGAATGTGCATATGAGTATAACAATAATATTTAGTATGGTTTTAATTTACTGATAACGAAATCAGTATTCATGTACCGTTTCTAAGAGTTAAGAACATTTTTTCTATAATTCATGGCTGCTCAGTTTCTAAGAGTTAGGAATATAATGTTCCTTTCAAAGTCCTCAGCTGGCCCCTAAATAAAAATGTGTACTAGTTCAGTGAAAATGGACGTCATACTAAACTCCGAAACATATAAATGAGCTAAAATTAAAAAACTTACAAGACTAACAAAGGCCAGAGGCTCCTGACTTGGGACAGGCGCAAAAATGCGGCGGGGTTAAACATGTTTTGTGAGATATCAACCCTCCCCTTATACCTCTAGTCAATGTAGAATAAAGAAACACACAGCGATACGCACAGTGAAACTCAGTTTAAAAGAAGTCCGAGTCCGATGTCAGAATAGGTAACAAAAGAAACTAAGCAAAATGACAATGATACATAAATTAACAAAGGACTAATAGTAGTTGTGATTGCCTATAAGACACTTGTATCCCTGAGACCAAAAGGACGAGGGTATGAACAACTTAAGTCACCGTACAGCATTCAACAATAAGCAAAACCCATATAATACAGTAAGTTATAAAAAGGTTCCGGTAACGGACATATTTATGTTTTTGACAATAAACGACAACTTGACTTGAGACAGGCATATAAACAATGTGACGGGTAAAACATGTTTGCGGAGTGGTCATCCTTCTCTAATCTAGAATATCGGTGTAACAGCACCACATAAGAACAAACTATTAAAATCAATTGGAAAAGGCTAAACTCATCAGATCGACACAAAACACAGAAATGATCATAACAAAAAGACAAATAAACATACGGTACCGATCTAACAGTACTCACGGCTTCTGAAAAAAGTTAGTACAAATCAAGTTTCAATTAATAGATAAAACATGTTTTCCCAGTCATAAATATCAATCCAGCGGATTTAGTGTAAAGACTCATAAACAGTTTAAGAGAAGAATCATATGCGTATTTTGCCTGCCTTTCATCGAAATGGGCTGAATATCTCCTTTGAAAATCACATGATAGGTGGATCATTCAAATCACGAGATGTATTACCATTCCGATTGACATGAGTTTCTTAAATTAATCATCGGACTCATTATATAACATTGCATTTGTTTACTATTCCTTTTACACATGAATTCAGCAGTTATTTCGATATTAGTTGAAAGTTACATAACGAGTGGTCATGCACCTTAAACATTATATGTTAAATGTATAATATTTTCTTCTCAGTCTGTACCTTTTCCAATTGGTTTTAGTGAATAAAGTATCTATCAAAGCAGGATGTGTTTACCGTATCGATTGACATGTGTTGTTTAATGATTCAGTATATATAACATTTTCTTCATTTGTTTACTATTTCTATTGCACATGAGTTCAGCAATTCTTATCATAGGTGAAAGCTTTACTATAACATTCACATTGTTCTTTAGGCATGCAAAGCAGAATGAATAATTTAACCACGTATCGATTGGGAAGAGTTAATTTAGGACACATGCTTCCTATGTGGCCTTAAAAATATGTGTTTACTATTCCTACTGCACATGAATTTAGCAGTAATTCTTATCCTAGGTAAAAGCCTTACTATAGCCTCCACATGACAGGTGGGGCACGCAAAGCAGGATATGTGTACCATATCAGTTGACATGAACTGTTGATGGAACAATATATTCTATTGCACATTCTTTTGTTTACTATTCTTATTGCACATTCTTTTGTTTACTATTCTTATTGCACATTCTTTTGTTTACTATTCTTATTGCACATTCTTTTGTCTAATATTCTTATAAAATGAATGCAGCAGTAATTCATACCCTAGGTGAAAGTCTAACTTTACTAATCAGGAGATTTACATACCTTGGTTTTAGCTTTCCATATCCATAACTCTCATCTTCTTTCTTGTTGCGAGTCATTTCAATAGCAATATATTTGTCTAATTATCTTATGCAAATTAGTAGTTATGCATTAAATAATCCAACTTCATAAAACGGAAATGTTTATTGTGATAGGAGGGAAGTGTGTGGGATATAAACGTTAACAATTTAGATGATGGGTGGTGACGATAAGTTATACTGACATAAGATAAAGACTAGAAATGTGTCTTATGTTGTAATTGCATTCAAGTATTTTAATCGTTTTAAAATTATGTAAGAGAACAAAGCCAAATACTAATATCTTTATCCCTTTGAAATTGTACTGATGTTACGCCTGATATGGCCATCAAGATAGGACAGGCGTATTCCACAGCATATTATATTGAGTAGCCTTAAACTCACGTACATTATTGTTTTCCAAACCATTCAAACCTTTATAAAAAAAAACTCCAACACACAAAAAGATCGATCTACTTTAACATTGATAAGATACTGCTTAAAAATGTAACTCAGTGATAACCATTGGAATATTAAATCAGCACAGGGAGAAAAAAAATCCAAACACAGCCACCAACCATTTTTTTTTGGGGGGGGGGGGGGGGGTAGGTTTTTTTCTTTGAACAAATATTCTTTTCTATTATCAATCAGCAACAAATTGTTTTTTTTTCCCAAAACATACAGGAACAACATTAAAACAAACAATGTTGATTTTATGTTTTTACTTTTAAATTTCAATAAATACAAACTATTTTTAACTGAAACATTTTTTTCTTATTTCAAAACAATTATATGACTAAAACAAGTGTATATATTCATGAACGATTTTTTCAGGTTAAAATCAGGATATAAATGTTATCTTTTACATTTGTTGTACTTTTTCATCCTTAATGGTTATATCAATGATTTGTATGATGAGAATCCTTGATAATATGAAATTAAAAATGGTACACGATATTGATTGACCCATACCCTTTGTTATGCCAAATGTTAAGCTAATTTGGCGCTGTAGTTAGAAACATTTGCTGATAAAATAACATTTACGAAATTTTTCCCAGTTACATGTATTGGTAAATAACGACAAGAAATACCTGATTTCCAATGTTAAGAAATATGTTTTTGCAGGAAATTCTCAGGATAAAAAAAATGTCACCTTGCATTGGCAAATCTCTTGCCTAAGACTGAGACTTCTATTACTATTGTGTAATGTTGAGGATATATCTTATCCTCATTTTCGCTTACCCGTTTGATATGTGCATATGGTATACTCTGATGATCATGCATAGATATAAGAAGATGTGGTATGAGTGGCCAATGAGCCTGACAACTCTCCATCCAAGTCACCAATTGTAAAAGTAAATACAGTCTATAATCTATTTTGGTTTGATTTGGCTTCTTCCATGATCTAACACAATCATAGGTTTGAACGTTGTTTTCAATTTAGACTTGTTTATATATATCCATGGGCTGTTCCGACCGGTCCCGGTTTTATTCAACTGTGTTTTAGCATCATCACATAGTTATCTCCCTTGTAGCAAAGGAAAACAAAGATGAAAAGAATGAATAATTACTTTTACATACATGTAGGTTCGACTTATAAATGCCATAATGATTAGATTTAAGACAGTCGGATAAAACTGATAAGGTACTAAGTAGTAGTACCTTATAAGTTTTTATCTGACCGTCTTCTTCTTCTTCGTATTTCCTTCCAATTACTGAATTAGGAACACCAAGTAGAAACGGAGTTGTTTTCACTTGTATTACTTCTACTTCTACTTCTACCAATACGCGGCCACCATCAATAAGTTGATTATTTTGCCACTTTTTGGATGCGCATTTAAAATTTAGACGAAAAAATAAATATTGAATTGATTTGAATTTGTGCTATACATCATATATACAGTGAATTTAAAAACATCTTGGCTTGATCTAGTTCATCTCATGCAGGTAAGTCTTGAAGCATTCAAGACTACCTGTATTGGTGGCAGTATGTGGTAGGGCATTCCAGTCTCGTATCGTCCTTGGGTAAAAAGATTCCTTCCGCACTTCGGTCCTACAAGATGGTACTTGATATCCATTTGTATTGATGTTTCTGGATAGCCTATCTGGTGGAATGAGAGTATTACTGGTGTCAACTTTGACCATCCCGTTGGCAAGTTTATACATCATTGTAAGCCTTGATGTTCTCCTACGGTCTTCGAGGGTTTTCCATTCTAGTATGTTAAGCATGTCACTAACAGATGATGTGTTATGATATCTGTTAGTGACATATCTGGCTGCTCTCCTCTGTACCATTTCCAGTCGGTTTTTGTTGTTTTGTTGATAAGGATCCCAGACTGTACATGCATATTCTAGAGTCGGTCTTACAAGTGACTTGTATGCAGTTTCTTTTATTGTGTTGTTATTGATGTTCAAGTTACGTTTGAGGAAGCCTATGGTCTTGTTTGCTTTAACACATATGTTTTTAATGTGTTCATTCCATTTTAAGTCGGAGCTGATGGTGCAGCCAAGGTACTTTGCAGAATTTAGAGATTCGAGGGTGTGGCCATGCAGTACATATTCTTTTATAATATGCTTACGTTTTCTTGTTATGGTAAGAACATTACATATTATTTAAGATTATTTTTACAGTACTATATACATCGGATAGTTTGAAAATGTAAAAATTTGTTGAACAACTCCAACCCCCATGTACAAGATAAAAAGTGTCATCCACTAATATATATATACAACTCTATCGTGCAAAGCATGTGCAACATATATACATCCATATCCTTGGGTTATGCTACAGGAAGGTTAAAATGTTTATAAGAGTAAGCACATTGTCTAAAAGATAGCTCATGTTCAAAGCTAGCAATATTCTTCTTTCCTTCGGATAAGATTTTGTACAGTTAAAACGTTATTCTTATTTCATGCGGTTCACCATAAAATAAAATTATATTTCAAAAGCACTATTTGGTTTCCTCACAAGTACGTTATGAATGTGGAGAATAGTTAAAACATAAAACAGTTACTTTCATGCAGCATTCAAATATTTAGAAGGATAAGTTACTATATTATACTGTTTGTTAAAAAGTAGTGTCTTTAAAATCTAAGAATGATTGCTGTTTGTTGGTTGGGAACCTTTATGTAATATCCAATCGTTATGGCTTAAGGTTCATCACAGGAGTTTGAAATCCTAGCAATAAAGGTGTATAAATAGGCCAAACTCGACTATCACAGTAGAGCTTCTCGCGGTCAAAAATGGCTGTATTTACACCTCAAAAACTACTCGGAGTACAGACTCACCTGTGCAGTTGGAAAAGTTTTAAGGCCTGGCATCCACTTGATATATAAAAGTTAAATGCATTTTGTGTTTCAGAAAGATAAAATCTTTTTTGGATTTTGATGGGCAATTTTTTTCGTGCCTGCAGAAGGTGTAAAAATAAACAAACACCTGAATTGCTTTTGATACTGTCCACTCAGTTACACCCTTTAACTCACCTATAGTTGTGTAGATATCTATTGTCCATGCCAATCAAGGACAATCAATACAATACAGTTTTTACCTGAGTCTGAGAGGGAGCATCTCAAAGTTGTATCCCAACTTAGTTTATTTTTGCACCTTCTGCAGGAATGAAAAAAAAAATGCTCATGAAAACCAAAAAAGATTTTATCTTTCTGAAACAAAAAATGCATTTAACTTTTATATATCTAGTGGATGCCAGGCCTTAAAACTCTTCAAACTGCACATATTAGTCTGTACTCAGAGTAGTTTTTGAGGTCTAAACACAGCCATTTTTGTCCATTTGTTATGATGAACCTTAATATGTATTCTGATCATGAACAGTTGAAGATTTCATATACTTTTGGGATAATTTTTGATTTATTTGTCTTAAAAAAATTACATCCTAAGGATCATAAGAGCTTCTTTTCTGCAGCTATACTAAATATACCCCAACCCTTTAAGGGCTTAAACTAATCATACAATTACAAAATCTTCAATTAAATTACACATTACATTTGACTTTTTTTTACCAAATGATTAATTAATTCATGTAATTAATTACTTAAAAAATAAAACTTAGATAAAATATTGAAAACATGCATTTATTCTATAATATGTACATAAGTATCATACATTGTGTTCTCAATAATTTTTTGAATAAGAGGAAGAAAAATGTAACTAGCAGGCAAATCATGAGGGCCGCAAGGTCGAACCGAGCGTCGCAGGCGCGACAGAGGGGTATCCCTCCTCCTTGTTAAGCTGGGGGTTCGGGGGGAATTCCCCAGAGAAAATTTTGAAAATCTAGATTGCAGGAGGTGGTATCTAGGCTGTACTGAGTAGATTTTGACCTATTATTCTTAATTTGTCCATTTTTGGTAGCTCATTTAAATTTTTCCTCAAAAATTGAAAGTTAATGTGATTTTTTTGCAGATTTTATATGACATGGCTTGCTTCACCCCTTTCCATGTTCAATGTTCTTCTTATTGCAAGTCTTTATCACTAAGGGCTATTCCAGAATTGATTGGATGGGAAGAGAAAAGCACTTTTTATTTGAATGAAATATTTTTGTCAATAAATTAATAGCTGGCACAAAACACGCAATAGGTGACGGATTTTACTGGTTGCTGGCTCTTATTGAAAACACTGATACATTGCTTTATATAGTAATAACAATTAGAAAATAGAATGATGTTTCTGAAGTATATATAACAGTGTTCAACTTATACTAGTAAATGTAGTAGTATGTAAGTGTACATTTTTGTATTTTGACATATTACTTATTTTACCATTTTACCATTACATTTCACCATCATCAATTTTTTTATTGTTCCATCAGCCAGTCAGCACTTTTCAGGCCTGAATGTCTTTCCAGCATTGATAAATAAACACATTTTATTTAGACAAAAATTTTATGATCAAACATAAAATTATCAAATGCATACTCTCAATGCTCTCATAAACATCTTGGTTGAAGTAAGTCTTGCCAAGAAGCAATTAGCCACTGTATACTTTTATCCAAGAAATATACCACAGTTTTAAAAAGAAAAATGGAAACAAAAGATGTCAAGTCTTAAATTCAGGGTTTGTCAATCCAAGAATGGAAAGTAGCGGAAGGCGAGATATTGGCATCAGAATTGTTTAGTTTTCAGCTGAAGTCAGTTTGATAGGAACTACTTATGATATCAGTTTGAAGACCTGATGCATAATAAAAAAATTAGATGAAATAGAAGTAAATAGAAAGATATGATAGATATGATATAAATAAAATAGATTGTTACTGTAAAGTAAGCAAAAAATCAGCATATTTTGATCTACAAAAATGTATAGTGACCACCATTGTTATTTGACTCGTTAAGGTAATGTTTGCTCTATTAAGAATATTATAATTACTGAGATATAAAAAATTTCCACCCTATAAGATTGTAGAAGGTAGGATAGTAAGGAAAGGAACAGTCACCTAAGCTGTCTTATTTTTCATTAAAAGTGCATTGCCCTACTAATTTCTTTTTTGTGTTTAATTAGTTATAGTACAGTACACCAAGCTAGGGAGATTATGCTTGTATGATAATTAATTTGTTGCTCATTTGAAGTAATAAAAATCAACAAGGTGCGACTACAAAATCGGATTAGCCAGATTATTACCTATGCGATCAATCCACCTGTTATATTTTGACACTACTCATTGTTTATATCTTGAAATTTTCTATATAGAATTAGATGGTATCAGAAACCAGTTATGATTATTATTAAATTCCTTATTTTGGTTCATGTGTCCTTTAAAAACGGACAAGCAAAATTTTGTACATTGTTGTACAAATAAATATTGATTTACTTTTACAAATTTTGACTAGGATGGAGAGTTGTCTCATTGGCACTCATACCACATCTTCTTATATCTATATATGAAGAAAACTTGTTATCTATTGTAGATAAGAACAGTTCTGCTTCTCTGATCCAACTGCCATCTACTTCAATTTTTTTTAGCCAGCAGTAAGTTGCAAGTGAATCTATTGGGTATTCATTTTTATGAGTATTATCATTTCCATTTCTGATTGAAGATGGCAAGCTGCATGGGAGAAATATTTATTCTGTCCCTCAAAGATCAATATAATATTCCAGGTAAGTTGGATATAGTCATTAGAAATTAGATAAGTCATGTAAGTACATTGTATATGTAATATATGAAATGTACAAAATGCAATTGAATGGCAACAAGACAGTGACCCGATGACATAAAAACTACAAAAGTCATGAAGAGGTCAACAATCAGCTTTCAGCAATGGAAAAGTTGCTATAACATTTGTTATGCTCTAAAATCACAACAGTATTGACAAGGTGTGAATGAATTTCACAGAGATTATAAAAGATTACCATGAACACAAATAATTTTAAAGGACAAAAAACAATAAAATACAAAGACAACCACTGAATAGACATATTTAATGTAACAGACTCAATTCCCTACTTTCTTTGAGATCAGTAATAATGAAATAGAATATGTATAAGCAAATGTCCTTTGAATCATATAATGTTATACATTATAAATTATCGATTTTCATCCTTCAGATGATTACAAGCATGATAAGACATCTAGAACTTAAGTTCTTAAGAATTTCTTTGGATTATTTAATATTATTGATCAAATAATATGAAGATATTGAACAATATTTCCAATTTTTAAATATTTCTATTATTACTTTTCTTATATACTAAATATTTGTGGTACTATACTGGAGTGAGAGCTGTAAAATGAATACTCGCAAATGTAATGAAAATCTTGTACATAAGTCTAAATCAGAATTTTTTTCTAGTATCAAATTATGAATTGAACCAAATAATTATTATTGTCTGCATTTAATTATAAACATTTTAAGATTTCATCAATTAAAAGGATTTCCATACAAAGCTGTTTTGATTCGGTTCAGCAAATTTAGTTTTCATTGCATTTATATTGATTAGAAAGAATATGCAGTTTTCTTATACCTGTATATATTTGCCAAAATGTACACCTGTCATAGCAAAATATGTTAATAAACAATAAGATACAATTGGCGAAACGGTCAAAACTTTTTCAGAAAGCTTCTTGTAATATGCAAATTGATAATAATATATTATCTTTGTTTTGTAGATGATGTAATTGGCTGTCACAGTTATCATGATAAATCACAGTCGGGTATAAATATATACTTGTTAAAGTTAAGAGTTTTGCTATCAAAATTCACATGCTTACAGATTATCTATGGTAGATCTCATATCAATAGTTAGGTTGTTCACAGACACTTCACAGTGACAAATAAACAAAAACAAAGAGTGCTCCCAGCTTCCAAGTAAACTTGTATAGTAATGTTCACAGCCAATTACCATCAAGCTATATCAATTGTTATGCAGATGTGTTTAAAAATTCTTGCCAGATTTAAGTCACATAACATTTTTCATGGTTCAGTTGCTTGTAGTAAGACTGCAGTTTGTTAACGTCCTGTACATTTAATACTCCAACTCTTAATATTGGTAGCTGTATTGCAATGATCTTTGTTTGTCAAGTCGTCAGTTCATATAACATATATTTTTGTGACACTTTTCTCCCACACTTTTGAACTGTTGAACAGAATGACTATATATTTGGTCAGCAGATGGACAGTGGTGACCTCATGTGATCACTTTTCAAATCTGTCAGAACTTACTTCAAGTTTGTCAATATTTGGAATTTTAATGCCCCTGTCGTGGCGGATTGGGCATTAAGGTTTACTCTTGTCCGTCTGTATGTCCGTCTGGAAATAGGTTTCTGTTCTCTAACTTTAGTTTTCCTCAACCAAATGTTATGATGTTATACACAATGCTTATTACCACAAACTCAGATTAATTTCTAATTTGGGTGACGTCACTTTTACTGTTCTGGAGTTATGCCCCTTTATATCTTTATATGCAAGCAAGGGCTTCATCTATGTCCCTTGGACACATTCTCCGTTTTATAATATGTGCAATGAACTAAATATTTGTGTCACTACTGAACATTATGACTTTATTAATGTATAGGGTATGCAGCTTGACAGTGTTGACTTCAAATATTTAAGACACTTTTCAGATCTGTCAGACACCTAAGTACTTCTTATTTTCAGATACTATTATTTATGTATAGGTGTAAGCTTAGTATGAAAAAAGGCATGCAACTGTTTGTTAGGAAGTTAAAAAAGTAAAATAATAATGATATCTTTATTTTATTGTCATAAAAAGGAACAACAGAATTACTATATAATGAAGAGAAGAAAGCATTCACTGAAGGTAGGTGTCATGTAACCTGTTTAGCCCTCAGGTGTTGTCTATCATTGAAAATCAACTTTCAATTTTAAGATAGATTTTTAGCTCACCTGGCCTGAAGGGCCAAGTGAGCTTTTCTCATCACTTGGCGTCCGTCGTAGTTGTTCTCTGTCGTCGTTAACTTTTTACATTTTGAACTTCTAGAGAATCACTGAATGGAATGAAACCAAACATGGCATGAATGTTCCTTATGAGGTCCTGAAGGGCCAAGTGAGCTTTTCTCATCACTTGACGTCTGTCGTCTTCCGTCGTCGTTCGTCGTCGTTAACTTTTTACATTTTGAACTTCTTCTAGAGAACCACTGAGTGGAATGAAACTAAACATGGCATGAATGTTCCTTATGAGGTGCTGACCAAGTGTTGGTACTTTGTAGCCGATTCATCATCCAAGATGGCCGCCAGCGGGGGACTTCGTTTAACATAGGACCCTATGGACAATACATACAAATGTCTTCTTTTAGAGAACCACTGAATGGAATGAAACGAAACATGGCATGAATGTTCCTTATGAGGTGCTGACCAAGTGTTGTTACTTTGAAGCCGATCCATTATCCAAGATGGCCTCCAGCGGAGGAGTTAGAATAACATAGGACCCTATGGACAATACATACAAATGTCTTCTTTTAGAGAACCATTGAATGGAATGAAACGAAACATGGCATGAATGTTCCTTATGAGGTGCTGACCAAGTGTTGTTACTTTGTAGCAAATCCATCATCCAAGATGGCCGCCAGAGAGGGACTTAATTTAACATAGGACCCTATGGGAAATGCATACAAATATCTTCTTTTAGAGAACCACTAAATGGAATGGAATAAAACATGACATGAATGTTCCTTATGAGGTGCTGACCAAGTGTTGTTACTTTGTTGGTGATCCATCATCCAAGATGGCCGCCAGTTGGGACTTCGTTTAACATAGGACTCCTGGGAAATACATACAAATGTTCTCTTTTAGAGAACCACTGAATGGAATGAAACCAAACATGGCATGAATGTTCCTAATGATTTGCTGGCCAAGTGTTGCTACTTTGTAGCCAATCAATCAACCAAGATGGCTGCCAACTGGGGACTTAGTTTAACAAAGGACCCTATGGGAAATATATGCAAATGTCTTCTTCTAGAAAACCGCTTAATGGATTGAAACCAAACATGGTATGAATGTTTCTTTTGAGGTGCTGACCAAGTGTTGTTACTTTGTAGCTGATTTGTCATCCAAGATGGCTGCCAACAGGGGGAGTAAGTTTAACATAAGACCCTATGGGAAATACATACAAATGTTTTCTTCTAGAGAACCACTGAATAGAATGATACCAAACATGGCATGAATGTTCCTAATGAGGTGCTGACCAAGTGTTGTTACTTTGTAGCCGAACCATCATCCAAGATGGTCGTCAGCAGGGGACTTAGTTTAACATAAGACCCTATGGGAAATACATACAAATGCTTCTTCTAGAGGAGCACTGAATGGAATGAAACCAAACGTGGCATAAATGTTCCTTATGAGGTGCTGATGAAGACCCTAATACATGTATCTTTATAGATGGAGATCTACTGTAAACTGCAAAAATATCAAGAAAAGAAGGTCTACACATAAGTCAACATAAGCAAAATTGTCAATTGACATCTTGTTGGAGTTATTGTCCTTATGAAGCCATTTTCTACAATTTCAATGAATTTATTGGTAATTTCTGTAAACTTTACAAAAGTCTTCTGTTTTTGATTAAATTACGGGGCCAATATTAAACCAAATTTGGCCTCAATCATTATTAGGGTATCTGTTATGATTTTAATTTATTTTTACATGATTTCCAAAACCAAAGTAGAATCAGGTGAGCGACACAGGCTCTTGAGAGCGTCTAGTTTTTTTTAAAGGCAAAATAGTTATTAATTGAATGATAAAAAATTCATAAAAATTGAAAAAAAAGTTTTCTGCTCTTTGGTCGGGTTGTTGTCTCTTTGACACTTCTCCATTTCCATTCTCAATTTTATCCTAGTGTAAAATTATTTTGAAATTATCTTATAATGATATAGATTTTAGAAATGTATAAATTTTCACCAAAAAAAAGAAAAGAGTGACCACCTTAGTCAGAGAAATAAATTTCTCCTGAATGTTATGACCTATAAATGCTTATTACTTAAATTTATCTCAGTATGATTGCAAAATGTTGGATATATCAGATCTGATGTTTATTTGATAAACTATTTGAAGATTTCTTTTTACTAACTATATCATTTCAACCTGATTGAATAACATTTAATCTTTTACATAGAAAACATAGATAACATTTTATATAGATGTATAAATTGCATTTTGAATACATATGAAATATTGAATTTTTAAAGCCCAGGATATGATATGGTCACCAAAGAATAAAAGACCAGAAAAGTTAAAGGATGGTTTGAAGGAAGTAGAGGTAAATTAAATTACAAGATAAAATATCTCCCTTCACATTTGATCAAAACCATAGAAATGAATCTCCTGTTTTGAGAATAATAAAAAGTTCAACATAAAGTTTCATAAAGACAACTGGCACAATAATTTATTTATAATATCCCCACTTTAAGTCGGGGCTAAATTGCAATCACATTGTCTATTACTCTTTTCTCGGAAACTAATAAACCAAATGACTTCAAATTTGGTGTGTGGCTTGACAGTGATGATTTGTATTGTGTAAGAACTTTTCAGATCTGTCAGAAACCTATTTCCTGTTTGCCGATACTTTAAATTACAAGTGGGGTATTTTTATGCTTTACTTTGGCATGAATAAAATTACTGCTTTTCAATTAACAATTTCTATTTCACAAACACATGTACATGTATGGTCACAATAAATTAATAGAACAAACAACTGTAAAACTATTATATAAACCAAATATGGTCTTGTGCCGCAATACGCAAAACCCAATAACTGGTTAAGGAGAGAGCACTCTCTTAAAAATATGCCAACGTTACCAAACGTTTTGACCATACCAAACTGACATATGACAGTATGCTTAGCATTACAACCCATGCATTCTTGTTTATGACTGTGTAGTGGTATGTCCAAGGCCAAATATTACATGTATATTCAGGAAGATAACAGGGTAATGAGATATGCATATACCATGTTTAGTTCAAGACCATAGACTTTCATACCAGGTCTGATTTTTGAAATGTCCTGGCTTGCAAGGTATAAGTCTGCAGTAAATCATCCATTCATTCTGACTCAGAGCCAACCAGTCTTTGCTCTTACTCCAAAATGCTGCATGCTTGTTGGAGAAGTAACATTTTTAAAGACTTTAGCTTGACCCAGCTGTATATCAAACCAACAAAATCCTGCACTCAGGGTGAACCTGTTACCTCAAGACCACTACATTGCATCAGCTGGCTATTGAAGTTTATATATTATGGACATGTTCTTTGGCTTACTGCTGTATACTGTTGATTTGATTAAAACATTTAGACCACTATAAATTGGAAAAAAATATATACCAACTTAAATTTTAAAAAGTATTAATGAAAATCAAAACGAGTTACTGTCAACACAAAATTATTTTTTATTGTAACACATACTCAACCAACTTTATATATACAAATTAAGTATTTATACTAAATATACTTATTCTACTAATAGGAGTTACTGTCTAAATACTAATTAAGTATTCCTAATAAGCACTTTTATTTCATCAACAGGAGCTACTGTCTCAACACAAAGTTGTTCATATAAGATGGAGAAGTAGAAAAGTATTACAGGTAAATCAAATATTTCTTTTATTTAATTCTATTATTGTTGGTATGTTGAAGTGCTCAGCTCCAATGTATTACTGGTATGAACTTTGAAACCAAATATTTCTACATGCCAACTTCTGCTTGGTTGATTGGTTTAGTATGGCAATTTTACTATTTGTGTTCAGGTTGCCTTAAATAATATGGCTACTGTAATCTTTTTTTTTCAGGTTGCCTTGAGTAATATGACCATTGTCACATGCACATTATGGTTAAGGTTGCATTAAATGATATGGCCATTTTGATCTTTGTTTTTAGGTTGCCTTGAGTAATATGGCCATAGTAACATTTGTATTCAGCTGTTTTAGTGGTGATGCTGAGAAAATTTTTATTGACAAATCATTGGTTGGTAAAGGTATCGGAGAAACAGTGTCAGATGGTAAGTATAAAGTATGGTCTAATGTTTGCTATTGACATGTGAAAATGTATTTCCATATCATGTAATCACATATCATGATTGACCTCCTGTGACCTTGAACTTTGACTTCAAGGTCAAAATAAATCTTTGTTTTTTGGACATTTTCATGTCATGAACATAACTCTTTTGTCCTTTTACACAAGCTTTGATATTTGGCACATTGGTGTAGCACCTCAAGACCATATGCTGCATACCAATGAAGATTACCTGTCTGACCTTGACCTTTGTCCTTCAGGGTAAAATTATTGATTTTTTGTATATCAACCTTAAAACCATATATATTCATTCTTGCCATGGCTAGACTTTTTCAATGCATTTAAGGGTTTACATCTGCAAGCCCTGCCCAACCTCCTCATATAATAAATCATTGAATATATTTAAAAAATGATTTAGATTCCTAAACCTAAACTATTTATATTCATAATTGCCTTGGTAAGAACTTTTGAGTTCACGGTAGGGTTTGTTCCCAGGGGGATGCCCATCCCTGTCATATCATTGATTGATAAACATCTTATGTTTTCATATCCCTTCCCCTGAAATTTATATATTAATAATTATTCTGACTAACCTTAACAGTACATCAAAGCTTTTGTCCCTTCAGTCATGTCCCACCCCCTTATACCATAAATTGGTAAAATGGGTCTTGACTGGTCCATTCACCAAAAAGAAGGAGTATTAAATTTTACACTACAGTATTTTGCTAATGTTATTCTAAATATTTGATTACTTCCAGCTTTTGTTTCTGACCAATTTTTCATCACAACATATCCTGACAAACCTAAAGTTGACTATGGATTCTTCATCAAGAGGCCTCCTATAGGGGAGGCTATAAAGAGATTAGAAAAAATATCAGCTTGGGAACCCAAGGTAATTTTCGTGTCAATATTTTATGCAAAACACCTAGACATGACAAAATGAAAAACCATTCAAACAAAAAAACCAATAGCCTGATTTATGACATAACAATGAATGAAAAGCAAATATGACAGACAGCAACCAACCACAACCACTTACAGGATCTGACAGGCACATATAGAATGTGACATGTTAAACATATTTGTAAACGGTCAACCCTTCATAAACCTGAGACAGTGGTGTAACAGCAACAGCATTACAAAGCTTAAATCTCAATGAAAAATCCCATGGAGTTATTTGAAAATACTTTGTAGAGTCCTGTAAACTGCCATATAATGCTCTTTAATGACTACTAATAGAAATTAATTCAAATTTTCTCATCATAATATTTGTCATTCACAAGATATTCAATTTTAACTTAAAAAAAACCAATATTTACAATGTATCACCATGCTAAATTTTACATTATATTTTACTACTATTTTGTAACAGACAGTACAGATGGACATTCCAGGACCGTTAGGTAGACGTTTGGAGAGAAGGGTATCAGTCAATACTCGTCAAGATATGGTGAGTAAAAGAAATATTCACTACATTATTTATTTCTGAAATAAACTTCTGAGCCATAGATCATAGTCAGACTTGCAATGTAGTTACCTTAAAAAAGGCCTTTCTTATGCTCATGATCACTTATCTGTTTATTTTCACTTTCATTAAATATACTATAAATCCTAAAAAAAAAAATAATCAAAAGGATTATTTCTTTTATAACAGCACCAAAAAGCTATCTTCCATGTACTCAATCAATGGTTTTTTTTTTAGAGAAACAGTGTTTTTATGATGAAACATAGTCTAGTTTATCAATATTTAGTTTATCCTTTTTCTTGTCAGTTTTAGACTTTTGTTTTTTTATCTTCTCAGATTTAATTTGTAATTTTTCAAGGCCTTGATATTCATAGATAGAATCTTTTATACTATCTTTTGTTTCTGAAAACTGATGGACAAGTTTATTTTCATTTTCCATCCATATGTTGATATAGGAATCAAGGTTTGGATGTTCTTCACCTTTATTTTCCTCAGATGTGATGTTACGGTTGAGAGAATCTTTGCTGCTAATGTATTGATAAAGAACAATTTCTTGGTCCCTAATCAGAGGACCAAGGTGAAAAACCATTAGCATATTTCTTTGTCTATTTAAAAGAAGTCTTGAGAAGTGTTGTTTAAGCACAATGTCTGCTGGAATTGACCTTCTTAAGCTCAAAACAAAATTTAGAATAATTGAATGACATTTTGCATCTGTTTCTGTATCCTGGTTTTGATTGGTTGAATCATCTTCACTATCTGTGTCATCAAGTTCAACAATTGGCTGAGTAAGAGTCTCTAATGAATCCATATGTTTTGTTGTCTTTAAAATACCTTTTCTTGGTCTTGTAGGACCACATGAGACTTCATTTTGACCAATAATATCAATTTTTATTCCTGTATTACTGTTTAATTCATGGTGAGGATAATCTGTTACTGAATTCCCTTCATGCATAGCTTTTGTTGTCAAGCTTAGATTGTCTTTCAATTGAAAGTCTTCACTGCTTTCTTGTGGACAAATAGCATCCAGATTGATTTTAAGATTTACAGTTTTACCTTTATATGTAACAAAAGTTTCTGTGGAATTATCTATCTCAACAAAATCCTGAAAAATATCCTCTTTTTGTAAAAATTCCAGTCCTCTCTCACTCATAACTTGTAAGAATGCTTTCATTCTAGTTGTAAGTTTCATTTCTTCTGATTTAACTCTAACTTCCCACAAGTCATTGCCAGCTTTATATCTGACCCTTAGCTGTTTAGTAATTATTTCTCTCTTCAGATACATATTCAAAAGATCATTACAGAGGTTATATTTACAGATGAGCTCTTTATGTATTTCAGTTGAGCTATCAATGACAGTGTTTGATTGTTTCTTCAAATACATTTGGCGAAAGTCTGAGATGCAAGAATTCTTTGGAAGAATATCATCGAATTTAAATTCCTCTACTTTCTTTAGATCTTCTTTTATCTCCATTCTGTAAAATATTTTTCAATTATGAACATGTTTTTCTTTTTATAGTAATGAGTTTTTAAGCATAATGTATCTTTCAAATTGAATATTTTACACCCTTAAAAGAACAATAAATATTTGAGCTATGGCAATGGTTAAACACAATGTTTACTATGCATAGTTTTAAACCTAGTTTGTGGGGTAATGCTAATAAAACACCAATTCAACAATAATCAGGGTCTAAAAATAACATCATTTTTGTCCACAAAGATTTAGAACCTATAGTTATTCAAGTAAGCAACCTCTGAATGGCAAAGGACATAAATACTATGTAATACAGTTTTGCTGAAAGAAATTAGCTTGTTTAATCTTCTACTTGCTGGCACACAATTTTTTTGAGTTGCACTATGCTATTTTTGCCAACTGAACTTTGAAATTAGCCTTTTTTTTCTGAAAATAGTACAAATCTTCCTCTTAACATGATGAATTATATAGCTAAATTTCCCTGAGACCTTTCAGACAATGAAGATTTGTTATCAATAATGGTATCATAAAAGTTTTCAATTTTGTTGAATTTACTTGACCAAATAAGCGAAGAATGAACCTAACTCTTAAATCATGCCATGAGTAGGTGTACACATCATCGGTTTTATTTATCATTAGGAGATTGAAAAGATATGTGATGGATTAACATGGAAAGAAATATCCTATGAAACTGTACCATGTGTACTATATAACCAATATATAGAAGGAACAGTTATTTTATTGCTGTTCTTTATCTTGACAATTGCTGGAAAGTATTCACAGCTCACACTATATTTTTGGTTTCCCAGAAAACGTTGGTAGATGAATTTCAAAGTGTATCACTTCCAAGTGTACCATAAAGACTGGACCTTTCTGTAGTTTGTGGACTCTTGAATGTATTGTTCAAGACCATCAAGAAACCTTTAAAGATATGAACAATGGCAAAAAAGTTGCTCATGAACCTGATGTTTCTGTCATATCTTTCCATTTGATCACGTTCTTTCCTGATGAGAAGTTAGTGTTTTGTTCCTGTGGACATATAGTTCCAGAGAACATGACTATCCATGTTTAGCCATGCTTTTAGAGTCATATAATAGCTATTAGACAGCTTATTTAGAGTCATATAATAGCTATTAGACAGCTTATTTAGAGTCATATAATAGCTATTAGACAGCTTATTTCACAAAATATCTTTGTATATCATGTCATTGATGTTTTTCCCATTTCCCCTTACATAAAATGGTGTCAAACTAATTCAAAATGCGATCATATTTTAAGGTCATTGTGAAGTCTAAAATAATGATACCATCTTCATTATGCAGATTTATTTATTATATCACACTGTACACTAACTTGACAATATTAAAATGGAAAGATTTAAATGAGTTACAAATGTAGATAGATTTATATATATATATCTTACCTTGTATTGTTATGTATAATCGCCTAATATTTAGTAAAATAAAAATATGGTGACGAGGAATGATTGCCAATGTGACAACAATCTGCCATAGACCGAATGTCACCCTTCATCAGTGAGTAAAATAAGTTTCTTGTGATGCATTTCTAGAAACAGATTGTGGGTTAATACATAATTGATTAAGACAATTGATTTTAGAGAAGTAACAGTATACCTATAGAAACAAATAAAATACAAGAAATATAGAAATCAATAATGTTTTCTAATCAAATTATCAGACCATATGTCAATCAGATTTTAAGGGAGATAATTGAATTCTAAAAATAAAATAAAAAAACTTGATCTATTGATTTACCTATAAAACTTGAAAACAGTAACAGAAGCAAAAAGTGGAAAGCAATGAGCTATTAAGTGCCAATCTGCCTAAGAATCAGGCAGTGGTGAAAACATGACAAAAAAACCCACTAAAGGTTACATTAATTTTAGTTCATAATGTATAATGGTGCTTGAATATACCTTCGTTTGGTTTCCCGTTCTGGTATTTCAAGATATGATTTGGTTGAAATGCACTAGAAATTACTAATTATGGGGAGCTAACTCTGTAATTTGCTATCATTTAAACCAAAATTTATATAGAGATTTATCGAATTACCAGACACACAGAAACGAAGGACCTACTATATTTAACTCAGGATGAGGGTAACTTCAAAATAGGATGGTTAGGTCAGTGGGTTTTTTTTCTGCCATGTTTTGAAATTCTTCTAAATTGCCTGATTCTTACAAAAACTGGCACTTAATGCTAAATCAGAGAACTTACACTTAAATGCAACGTATACATTATTGCATTGTATTTCTGATTTTTATGAAGTTTTGTATACATTGAGAATTCATTGAACTGCATCTGAAATTCTGAATATAAAAAAAAACTCATTGAATTGCAAATGCATAAAAAAAAAAATATTGTAGCAGTTATAAATTCAAATAAAGAAACAATAAGAAAATATTATTAGATTTAAAAATATTATTAGATTTAAAAATATTATTAGATTTAAAAATATATGTAAAATGCTGCCAAAAAATGCAGTGTTTTACTTTAAATTGCAATTTCTCAAATTTATGACCACAGACTTTGGTTTAAAAATGATATGATTTTGCTGTGAACATTTCTGTTTTTTAAATATAATATTAAGAGGTCAAAGTATTCATTTTGCAGAAGAATTGAAATAGTCTCTGTATATAGAGTGAAAAAAGAATAAAAATGACAAAATAAGGGTGACTACATGTAGTACTGCTAAATTGTAAACTTTCATTTTTTTCATACATTACTCAAACTTAAATGATTTAAACATTAAAAATGAATGTGGTGTTCTCAGCAATACCATATCTCTATTTTCTATCGGTATTCAGATGCAGTTTAAAGATCTAGAGTTCTCAATACATACAACAATTCATAAAATTTTAAATACCCCCAATTATGTATACTTTGCCTTAAATAAGTGAAATACATGTTTCTCAATTAGAAACACATTGGGAACATTATCCTATGGATTATTTCTTCTTAAAAGTGATTGATTGCTAAGTTTTATATTTTTCAAAAGTTTTCCCTCTCTATTTTTACAATGGCAAACTATCACAACGTAGAGTATATAATCAAAATTAAAAATTAAACATCTTATGTGATTTATGAAGTTACATTTAATAGAATATATGTATAATTGATTGATTGATGGCTGCTCAATATCCAGTGATAAAATAACATGCATTTTGAGGATGATAACAATTCAACATATTGTTAAGATATTGGTTTTAAATTGTTAATGAACAGTTGATGATTTTAGGTTTTAGTTTGGTGGCCAACCTCCAGTATTGAAGCATGGCCATGGAGTCCTATGTCTACTGATAGAGACAGAGCAAATCTGATAGTTCTATCAATACATGGGTAGGTGTAATAAATCTTTTATTGACAAACGATCTGATAGTTCTATCAATACATGGGTAGGTTTAATAAATCTTTTATTGACAAAAGATCTGATAGTTCTATCAATACATGGGTAGGTTTAATAAATCTTTTATTGACAAAAGATCTGATAGTTCTATCAATACATGGGTAGGTTTAATAAATCTTTTATTGACAAAATATCTGATAGTTCTATCAATACATGGGTAGGTTTAATAAATCTTTTATTGACAAAATATCTGATAGTTCTATCAATACATGGGTGACAAAAGATCTGATAGTTCTATCAATACATGGGTAGGTTTAATAAATCTTTTATTGACAAAATATCTGATAGTTGTATCAATACATGGGTAGGTTTAATAAATCTTTTATTGACAAAAGATCTGATAGTTCTATCAATACATGGGTAGGTTTAATAAATCTTTTATTGACAAAAGATCTGATAGTTCTATCAATACATGGGTAGGTTTAATAAATCTTTTATTGACAAAATATCTGATAGTTCTATCAATACATTGGTGGGTTTAATAAATCTTTTATTGACAAAATATCTGATAGTTCTATCAATACATGGGTAGGTTTAATAAATCTTTTATTGACAAAAGATCTGATAGTTCTATCAATACATGGGTAGGTTTAATAAATCTTTTATTGACAAAATATCTGATAGTTCTATCAATACATGGGTAGGTTTAATAAATCTTTTATTGACAAAATATCTGATAGTTCTATCAATACATGGGTAGGTTTAATAAATCTTTTATTGACAAAAGATCTGATAGTTCTATCAATACATGGGTAGGTTTAATAAATCTTTTATTGACAAAAGATCTGATAGTTCTATCAATACATGGGTAGGTTTAATAAATCTTTTATTGACAAAATATCTGATAGTTCTATCAATACATTGGTGGGTTTAATAAATCTTTTATTGACAAAATATCTGATAGTTCTATCAATACATGGGTAGGTTTAATAAATCTTTTATTGACAAAAGATCTGATAGTTCTATCAATACATGGGTAGGTTTAATAAATCTTTTATTGACAAAATATCTGATAGTTCTATCAATACATGAGTAGGTTTAATAAATCTTTTATTGACAAAAGATCTGATAGTTCTATCAATATATGGGTAGGTTTAATAAATCTTTTATTGACAAAATATCTGATAGTTCTATCAATACATGGGTAGGTGTAATAAATCTTTTATTGACAAAAGATCTGATAGTTCTATCAATACATGGGTAGGTTTAATAAATCTTTTATTGACAAAAAATCTGATAGTTCTATCAATACATGGGTAGGTTCAATAAATCTTTTATTGACAAAAGATCTGATAGTTCTATCAATACATGGGTAGGTTTAATAAATCTTTTATTGACAAAATATCTGATAGTTCTATCAATACATGGGTAGGTTTAATAAATCTTTTTATTAACAAAAGATCTGATAGTTCCATCAATACATTGGTGGGTTTAATAAATCTTTTTATTAACAAAAGAAATTGAGTGTAGTCATCCAAATATGAAATCATTCTCTTCAATATATGAGGTTAAATAAAATAATTTTCATCAAGCAAAAATATTTTTGTAAGACTGAAAATAAGACCTCTAAATAAATCAATCTGAGATATTCAGGTCCTTGATTTAACAAGTTCTTAATGTTTAGTGATTTAATATTGATTAACACAGCATCTAAAAATTGCTTGTTTATGTGTAGATATTTTTGCAGTTATGAAAATGATAAATAGAAAACTAATTATTTGCTTAGCATTTTTGAAAAATAACAAAAGTTACAACTATTAAATTGTATTTTCAGGCCAAATATAGACTTATTGGCTTACAATAGGACAGAGTGTGATCCATTTCATGCAAGCTTTAGGTAGGTCATTATTTCTTAGATTTTATTATTCAAGTTCAGTTTCAATTGTGTTAACTATATATTCTTTAATAGGAACAAGAAGGAATATTTAAGTTTTTCTCATCTAGTTCAGAATTAGTATAGAAATAATGATTCACTAATATTAAGTTGCAAAGATGACATCAATTTTATCTAGTTTGATAAATAATACTCCTTCGAAGAATGAAAACACCATTTCTATTACTCTTTTAAAAAACCATAGATTTTACCAAATATTTTTTGTATCTTGAATGTTAACAGCAAGACAAATTTTTTAGCATAAAATAGCTATTGGAAACTGGATGTAAATTATATATTTGAAAATTTCATTATGATTAAGCAAAACTAGTGAACTATTTGGTAGGCAGTAGTGACCCAGTTTGAATGTTTTACTTGAGAAACAGAATTTCATTTTATGACTTATGATGCGTATTTTACAGCTGTTTACAACCACACAGATTTTTCACTTTAGAGCAGTCTCAGAGTGGTGGTGGTGAGACAACAGCTCATACTTCTACATATGAGATAATTCAAGGAAAGGTAAGTCTCAGAGTGGTGGCAGTGAGACAACAGCTCATACTTCTACCTATGAGATTATTCAAGGAAAGGTAAGTCTCAGAGTGGTGGCGGTGAGACAACAGGTCATACTTCTACATATGAGATTATTCAAGGAAAGAGGTAAGTCTTAGAGTGGTGGTGGTGAGACAACAGCTCATACTTCTACCTATGAGATAATTCAAGGAAAGGTAAGTTTCAGAGTGGTGATGGTGGTGAGACAACAGCTCATACTTCTACATATGAGATTATTCAAGGTAAGAGGTAAGTCTTAGAGTGGTGGTGGTGAGACAACAGCTCATACTTCTACCTATGAGATAATTCAAGGAAAGGTAATTCTTAGAGTGGTGGTGGTGAGACAACAGCTCATACTTCTACCTATGAGATAATTCAAGGAAAGGTAAGTCTCATAGTGGTGGTGGTGAGACAACAGCTCACACTTCTACCTATGAGATAATTCAAGGAAAGGTAATTAATTTTTTCCTGCTTGGAACATAAATATCAATATGGCAATATTTTTCACCAGATAAGCTATTCAGGCTCTATGGAGCCTGTAGTTGTGATTATGTCAGGTTCTACTGTACTATGAGTAATAAATCAAAAAGATTTGGTCTATAGGATCATTTATAGATGTACATGTCTCCATAACAGGGTTCACCTATAAACCTTGAAAATATTTTTCTGAATATTAGTTCACCATGCTATTTTTGTAACATTAGAAATATTTATATGAAGAACAAGTATAATTTTTAGTAGGTGAGAAATATGCTACAATAAGAAATAAGTATATATATATATATATCAATCTTTACTCCAAAAAAAAAAGATTTTTTAAACATATACAGCTTTTATGGTCTTTTTCTTCTTTTGCATGTCCCTTTGGTATCTTTCGCCTCTCTTTTAGGATTTGTCAGTTTTGAAATAAAAGATTCTAAAGCTTTTGAGAAAGTATTTATATATAGCTGAAAAAATAATTATGACTTACAAATGATTTATAGATATATCTACATGGGCATGAAGTCGTTCACTGATGCCTTTTTGCCACATTGATTTATTTGCTTAAAGTAAATCATATGAATTGTGTTGTTGAAAAATAAAGTAATGATTATTATTATTGCAGATTCAGAGAATTTCAAATATTGCCATTCCACTTAAAAGTAAGTTTAAACATATGCAAAATGATTATTTCATGGTAAAAGGGTAGTGAATCATGAAGTGATTGAAACTGTACCCACCATAAATCTTTTAAAAGGAAGATTATCTCCAATGAGAAACAGAATATGTTAAGGGTCCTGTATTGGGTCTGGTATAAATGCAGTAGGGTTAACTTAGTTTTGAAGTACTTAAAACTCAACATTCTTCCTTTCTGATTTGGAACAATTACATAAGAGCAAATATATTTTAACAAACACATATATATATATTGTATATTATTGAGCTTAACAAGGACTTATTCAATCAGACCCAAAATGTCTACAACAATTAAACTGAGCCGAACAAGGACTTAATTCAGTCTGAACTGTAATGTGGAAAATTATAATCCTATATTGCATTTAGCTTGTCAGTCCTTCCGTACTTTCTTCTGCTTTTCTAGCAAATGTTTCTGTCACACTTTTCTCAGGTTCTACTGAACAGAATGACTTCATGTTTGGTCAACAACTTAGTAGCTTAAAAGTGATGATGTGTAATATGTTAGCACTATGAGGATCTGTCTGATGTGTAATATGTTAGCACTATGAGGATCTGTCTGATAAGTAATATGTTAGCACTATGAGGATCTGTCTGATAAGTAATATGTTAGCACTATTAGGATCCATCTGATGTGTAATATGTTAGCACTATGAGGATCTGTCTGATGTGTAATATGTTAGCACTATGAGGATCTGTCTGATAAGTAATATGTTAGCACTATGAGGATCTCTCTGATAAGTAATATGTTAGCACTATTAGGATCTGTCTGATGTGTAATATGTTAGCACTATGAGGATCTGTCTGATGCTTTCTTCCTATTTACCAATACTTTGAATTTTCACTTGTTGAAAGAAGTTAAAATATTTCATCTCACATTTCTCTAGTACCTCTGAACAGAATGATTTCATATTTGGTCAGCAGCTTGACAGTGATTAGTTATAATGTGTTAGTGCTTGTCAGACACATACATACTGTTTCCTTATACTTTGAAATAAGAGTGGGTTATTCTTAGCACAATATGTGTACATTCATATTGTTTTAAAATATATGCTTAATAAGGCCTTAACTCAGTCAGACCTATAATTAAACAACAGTCGAACATAACTTTAATAGTAAGGGCTTAATTAGTCTGACCCACTTTCAAAGACTGCTGTTAAACTTCAGGCTTTAATACCAATAATAAAATAATATTGCTTTATAGAAGCAAACATCCATTGCAAATGTTTCATATCTTTTAATTCTTTTCAGTTACCTTATGAAATGAGTACTATAAAGGTACTATTTATGTCTAAATGTTTACTGAATGATTCACTCAAACTATACTAAAGAAAGAAAAAAGTTATCAGGTTGAATGACTGAAAAGATATTGTATTTTCTGGAATCAAATGTTGAAAGCCATGAACTTGTTATATTTTGTTTTCTTTTTTTAATAAAGAAAAACTTGCCTAATTCAAGGCATCCAATCTTGATACTAGTAAATGATTTACAGACATATTTTTTTTTTTCAAATTTCAGGTCATGTAACTTGTTTAAGTAGAAATCATTTAGAAGATAAATTGGTTCTTGGCTGTGCTGATGGTTCTATTGTATGTATGATTTTACTCAGATATAGAGAATTGTGAATTGTATAGTTAAAGGTAACAACATTTGCTGTATCAGCACATTCAGAGCTTTCAGAGATCTTTTTGTAGAAATATTAGTTCAGAAGTATGTACATTGATATAATATGGTGAGAAAACAGACTGAAGTAGCTTTCATGGCAAATTTGGCTATAGAATATTTGTATTTATGTTTAAGGATGTAAATTCAGAATGCCTTTCTTTCATACTATTTCATTATATAGAAGTTGAGGCAACATAGGGTAATCTTCAATGTGTAAATATTTAAAACCATTGTCAGTTTATATAATAGTTAATACTTTATTGACATCACTATTAAAACCTTCAAGTACAGTGAGTTTGTGTTGAATCTATGTCTTTTGCACTCCACAGACTCTCCAGTCTTTCTAGAATTAATCTATCTTGAATATGAAGGTTCAGTGTCTAAGTAAAATATTTTTATTTTATTTTAGGTACTATATGATGAAGGGAGGAAGTCTACATTTTTTGTCAGGGCTGCATTGGTGAGTTGTGTATAATCAAAACATCTAGATACAGAAATTACATTTCACATATTGTTATACAAATCTTCAAATGAGAAATATCGCTTTTCAGATATACAAGTACAAAAGTATGTGGGGTATCTAAACATCAATGTCTAATTGTGTATATAGAATACATATAAAAAAACCATGTTTATATTTTGTTTATAAATTTAATGTCAAGTACATGTGCCTGTGAAATAGAAATAAATGGTGTATAAACATCGGAATAATACATTATTTGTTTACAGATACCAGCCTCCATATCGTGGCATCCTACAGGAACAGTATTTTTTGTAGTGGGTGCTAGAGGAGATATTCAGGTAAAGTGAGATAGCAATGGCAGCAAAATGTAGATCAATCAGTCCTATAGAAAAATAAAATTGTCATGATTTTATAGATTTTATTAATTTTCATTGCATTAACAATTATAGTTTGCCTTTAACATGTTTAAATTATTTTATGAATTGCACAAAGTGTTTTTGAACTGAAGTCTTTGTTTTCATACAATGAAGAAACTGTTTTCAATACAAAATATTTTAATATTTAAATTAATTTAATGTCTTTTAGAAAAAAATTAATGTTTAAGAAGAATTGCTTATTCTAAAAGAACTTAAATGAATCAGTTTAAACCACATTAAAGAAAGATGGAATTTCCCACTATCTGACCTCTTAATGGTTAAGGCTTATGTCTACGTCTTAATTGTAGCAAGCAAGATTAACTGTATAAAAAAACCCAGAAAGGATAAAGCTCAATTGGTGTAAATAGATGAAGAATTTGAATGAAGATTGGGAAGATGTTTTAAATACCCGCTGTGTCATTAAATAACCCAGGAATTCTGAAAATGATCCGTTTTCACCGGGATTCTTGAGCCTTTAGACTGATTTCATACGTGATTTTCCTTTAGAATACCAGCAAATTTGTAATTCTTCCTGGACAGGAAGCTTAACTAGCTGTGTTAACTGTCAAATTAAATGACCCATTAAGTGCATGGCTTCAAATGACAGCTTTGGTGTCAAACACACTGTTGATTAACACCAATTACCTTAGCTTAAGGTCATGAATAATTTGTGGATTTCAAAGTTGTTTGACAATAAATTTGAGTTACTTCCCTTTTTTTTCACCTTTCGAACTTGAGATAAAGGATACAACAGATACAGTTAAGTCTGCCTCATATCTTGACTTACATCTAGAACTTGAGATAAAGGATACAACAGATACAGTTAAGTCTGCCTCATATCTTGACTTACATCTAGAAATTGACAATGAGGGTCGGTTGAAAACAAAACTTTACGACAAAAGAGATGATTTCAGCTTCCCAATTGTGAACTTTCCATTTTTGTCTCGCCTTGACGAAGTCAAAAAGCGAGACATAGGTATGCTGTTTCCGGCAGCGGCGGCGTCAACAATGTATTAGTTTGTGATTAGGTCTAGTTGATGGTGAACCAATAGTGATAGGTCAATGATATTTGGTATGCAGTTGTATTAGCATTGGCACATCTCATTACCATGGAGATTATTTGGCCCCGCCCCCTCAGTCAAGGTCTATTGACTTTGAAACTTTTCATAGTTAGCATGTATTAGTTTGTGATTAGTTCAATTTATGGGGAATCACTAGTGGTAGGTCAATGATATTTGGTATGCAGTTGTATAAGCATGGTCATATCTCATTTCCATGGAGATTATTTGGCTCCCCCCCCTTTAGTCATGGTCTATAGACTTTGAAAATTTTGCTAAATTTACATGTATTAGTTTGTGATTAGGTCAGTTCAAGGGGAACCATTAGTGGTAGGCCAATGATAATTGGTGTTCAGTTGTATAAGCATTAGCACATCTCATTTCCATGGAGAATATTTGGCCCCGCCCCCTCAGTCATGGTCTATTTACTTTGAAACGTTTGCTTAGTTTACATGTATTAGTTCGTGATTAGATCAGTTTAAGACGAACTGCTTATGTTAAGTCATTGATATTTGGTATGCAAATTTATTGGCATTTGCAAGTATCGTTTCCGTGGAGATTATATAGCCCCACCCTGATCATGGTTCATTGACTTTGAAAATTTTACATAGTTTACAAGTTAATGTTTGTGTTTAGGTTTGTTTAAAGGGAACGACTTATAATAAGTCAATGGTATTTGGTATGCAGTTGTATTAGCATTGGCACATCTCATTCCATGGAGATTGTTTAGCCATGTACCTTCAGTCATGGTTCATCGACTTTGAATATTTGCATTACTTACATGTTAAAGTATTGCAATTTTAATTTCAACATTTGCATTATCAAAATTACAAAAAGGCGAGACATATCTCTGTGATAACAGTTTATTATGTAACAGCATTCCAGCATATAGAGTATATATCTCCCAGTTGCTACGATGTTCCAGGGCTTGTATTTCCTATCATGATTTCCTTGATAGAGGGTTGCTGCTCACAAGGAAGCTATTAAACCAAGAGTTCCAAGTGGTGAAGTTGAAATCATCCCTTCGTAAGTTTTTACAGACGTAATCACGAGTTGGTTAACCGTTATGGAATATCCGTTTCACAGATGATAGCAGATATGTTCCTAATGTCGTAACTACAATCCTGTCCCCTTTTCCCCAATGCGACCTATCGAATTAGACTTATTACCGGGTTTGTACTAACATGAGCAAAACAACGGGTGCCACATGTGGAGCAGGATCTGCTTACCCTTCTGGAGCACCTGAGATCACCCTCAGTTTTTGGTGGGGTTTGTGTTGCTTAGTCTTTATTTTTCTGTATTGTGTTTTGTGTACTATTGTTTGTCTGTTTGTCTTTTTCTTTTTTAGCCATGGCGTTGTCAGTTTATTTGCGACTTATGATTTTGAATGTCCCTCTGGTATCTTTCGCATCTCTTTTTCACAATATACTCCTTAGAATTATGTTTTTTTTTTTTTTGTAAAAAGTTTAAATCTAAGGCAAATTGAATGCAAATACAAATCAGAATATTAATTTCTTTATTTTTATACCTTAAAACAATTAAAAAATTAATATATTTTTTTTTTTTTATCTCTACCTTCTTTAAATGCTTATTTTTTTGTTTATTATATATCAATATCAATTACCTTAATGGACTATTGTTAAAAGCAACAAAACTTGATACATACTATATATGAAGGAATTGGCTGGTGTATTGATAAAAAAACTATTAACTAAAAAAGAAGAAGGGGTATGGCTTGGCTGGAATTGACCAAAATAATATATTAATGTATCAATGGCTTATAAATATAGTGAAAAAATTAAATTAAAGTTTTTAATTATTTTTTAGTTTATACTTAACCATGTTGACATGCTTTGGAAACTGTTTGATTTAAGATATAAAGAAATGTCCCCTGAATACTTAAATTCAGCTGAAAAAAGTTCGTAGGCATTATGACCTGAGATTTTCTTCTTCAATGCAGGTCATGACCTGCATTTTCATTTTCATAGGTTGACAGGTATGCATTTTACTCAATCAAAAGTTTAGACATTAAAATTGCTATAATTTTGTTTGGTTTATTGTACGTTTCACATTGGTTTGTACATTCAGCATTTTTATTCTACAAATTTGCTCTCAGTCAATATGTACAATCTCATAACAGTTATATAGCAGAAGATACTGCAGCATGTAAATTCAATTCAGAAAGCTATTATAACTTGCTTGTTACAGGTTTTTGATATGGCATTATCTCCCCTGAAAATACAGTTGGTGTCAGAAGATCCATGTACACATAGAATTCTACCTATAGGCAAATATTTTAAGTAAGATATGATTATAGATTTATATTAGCTTTAAGATTTGTGAATGTAATAGTACACATATTATACGTTATTTTAAAGAGAAGCAGCTTTAAGTCTATGAAAAGTGGGAGATGACATATAACAGATGTTTGCACTGACCTTTCCCGTGTGGAAAAAAGTCTTGTCAGTCTTACTGACATGCAGTTTGATAAACCTTTTGAATTACTACTTTTACTGAGGAAATATCTTCTTACTTTATTTGTTTCCTTGCTGTGAAGATTTTGATATCCTCCCTTTAAGATCATACTTTTACACTTCTTCGAAGATTGTTGAGGATATTTTGGAGGGGCATTCATTTTCTCAACCATATTATTTACTTTATAACATTTAATTTTTAAAATTTACAACAAAAAAATAAGATAAAATAAATTGTGAAATTTGGTGTCAAAGGTTTTTTTTTGTCACTTATCCTGCATGCAAATTTTAAAGTCATTTACATATTTTGCAGGGTTCCCTACACATTAAAGGATATTAAATGGTGTTTATATGATCCAAAGTCTGTAGAATGGAATGGTGACTACACTGATGCTATGTACATGCATTTTGACAGGTATAGCAATATACTGAGATATGGAAATTTTAATATTATTTAGTTTATAGATAGTCAATATTCTGGAAACTCTTGACTGTCATGGTTTCTCCATGTCATTTTAATATATAGCCAGGTAAATGAGGAAGTTGAAGTTTATATGCTCTGTGATCAGCACTTGATGTTCTTTTTGGTGAATGTGTGCTTTCAGACATCTATGTTACCTTCACACCGTATCCACGTTTACTGTAAACCAACTAATTTTTGCAAGCCTTTATTTTTTGCAACTTTCGTGAGTAGAAAAATAATGTGAATATAAATCATCTCGATTATGTAAAACTTGGATCTTTCTTTATTTAACTAAATCAAATTAATTTGAAATTGCAAGAATGGGCTTAAAGCGAAATGAAGTATCCGCAAAAATAAATTGGTTCACAGTATTTTATATACAAATTTTAAATAAATATTTACTTCACAATTTCTCAAGGTAGTAAAAAATCAAATTAGAATTCCCTTATTAAATTCTTCTTTCATCTGTATCAATTTTATGAAATCTTTATCATGTTTAATCAAGTTTTTTGGCTGGATGCATGGCCTGAAAATCAGACTGAAAGTATGTATAGTATCACAGGGATCAATGGACAGGGTCTAAAAAAGGTACTTGTTTTGTGTAATCAACTATTATAAGTTTTCAACAAAGAGTTCTCACTGGCTGAAATCATCAGATGACTCCTTATTGCTCTTAAATGATGATATTTACCTATTTTTGTGTTTTTGCCTATTATTTTGAAAACTATAATAAATAGCTCGAATTTTATATAGCAAAAATTATCAGCAAAACAAGATCTACAAATATGTCAACATGACTGAAATTATCAGTTTACTCTTTATAGAATTATTGCCGTTTCATGATGATTTTTATCAAACAATGGTTATTGTTGAAGATGCAGGTGAGGAACACAGGCTCTTTAGAGCCTCTAGTTTAATGATTTTGTCTGTTTTGGCCTATATCTCAAGGGAGGTTCTAATTTCCCTCAGTTTTGCTTTATTGGAGAATATCGTAACATTGCAACCTGGCCATTTTCTACAGTATATATATATTAATCTTCATTAAACTTAACTTTTTATATTGTAGAGGTCCTCCAGTTGTGTTTATATTACATCTAGGAGTTATTAGTAGAGAGAGACTGTCTGGACTAGAATTAGTCAAAGAGTACCTAAAACACAGGCAAGAAGAAGAGGTGAGGAATGTTTGAATATTGAAAGAAATTTTTAATAATGTATGTCTTTCATAGCTTGAATTCACCATTTCATAATCTAATGCATTCTGGGAAATATTATCAAAATCATACATTAACATGTGATGGAAAATGTTTGAAACAATAATATTTGACCAATAACGTAAAACTATTATATTTTGTTGTAGGAACATTTAAATTAACAATGATCAGTTTATATTCAGAAACCGTCACTTTTTTTAGTGAGTTGCGATTTTCCCAGAAAATGTTATATCACTGAGGAATAGTGTCTGTCTGATTGAGGATCAACATTTCAGTGTCAGTTTTTTGCGGTCATAAATCAAAGATCAACATGCATAAGTTGTAAATATACTAAAATTTTGAGAAATGTTTGGTTTATGGATACATCAATCATTCCAAACTTTAGGGAACCCTTTTGAATGGGAGATGATGACAAGTTTTTTGTTGTTTTGTACAGCTACTATACAGTCTGAACATAGCTATATACTGAAATGATTTTAGTTGACTGCAAGGGAATTGGCTGAACAGTACTGAAAATTGACTGAATGACTGTACATGACTTGATATTCATTGTTCAGTCTTTCGAGTGCTGTACAGATCAAAATGGGTGTTTCAGTTCATAATCAGTTTACTAATGCACAGAGGCTGTGTACAAACAAAAAATCATCATCACACTTCTCAAGTTGCAACTCATCTTATGCATGATAAGCATAGTGTATTTTCAGATGAATGATACATGATGCTAAGTCAATAAAAGGCATGTAACAGACTGTTGCATACAAACTTTAATTGATCATGTTGATGAAGTGTAACTTGATTGTAAAAGGTTCAAGGAATTAATGGATCAGTATTGACCAATTTAATTCTTTAATATGAATTAGTTTAACATAAATCTGTGAACAGACTTACATAGTTCATGTTTTATCTTTATTTTAAACAGGCAGTACAGTTACTAAAAGCTATGAACTGGGACATGGAAGGTCCTGTATGTTACTCAAGTTTGTCTGCTATTGTAAACCATTTACTAAGACAACCACTCAATGCAGAGAGAGAGGGTAGGTAGTGGTTTCAAAAATCTTTGTGAGGAAAATGTTATTTATATATACATATAATAACAGTCAACCAGCAAATTTAATAAATATCAAGTCAAAGAACTCATTGTTTTATGACCCTTTTTGAAAAGGAAGGGACTGACACTGATGAAGGCCATTTGTTGTGCCGAGATATGTCACCTTCTGATGCCTCAATACATTCATTAAAAAAAAGACCATTAATCTTGTATCAATTATATTCGGTCTTACTTTTTAGGACTATGTTGATTGATTGAATGATTGATTAATTGATTAATTGATTAATTGATTGATTAGATTTATATTAAGACATAATTTTATGTAGCCAGTGGCATTAAGTATAATAATTATAATATTAATATTAATTATTTATATGGAAAAAATATTTTCTTCAATGAAAGGTTAATGCGATATCCAAGTTCTGAATAAACAATTGATGTAGCTCTGTAAGTGTTTTTTAGCATATAGTTGAATTAGGACCCTGCCATCTATATATGGTGGTAGTCTAGTAGCTATATATATAGTGATCCGTCTATCTGTCTGTTATTGAATCCAAGAAACTGTTTCCACTGTACTTCTCTCTGGAGTATATGATAACTTATGATATTTGGTGAGTTCATGCCACAAGCAGTTTAAAAAGTTTCACCTTAGATTCATATTCATATATCATGACCCTAGTTTACCACAATAATATATTTTTCAAACACGAAACAAAAAATAGACAGACCCTCATGTTAATGTCTTAAAATCAAATGTTACTGCTTCAACGTTAATGTGTAATTATATTAAGTTTTATTTAATTTTCATAGCTCAGCTAGAGTCAACATTAGGGACATTTTATGCACCAAAGCGACCTTTATCAGAAGTAACAATCATGGACTATAGAGATCCTATCAGTCGATTAGCTAGGCGGTTCTTTCACCAATTACTCAGGTATATCAACACACTTTTTATGAGATATAGCTTATGTTTGTAAAAATTATGAAGTTCAGTGCATTATTTCAATAGATCTGCAATTTATTTTGAGCATCATTCAAAATTTATATAGAATAGTAAGATTTAAAACATCTTAGGCATTTGTTTATATAGATTGTTAACTGAATGAATCATTTCTTAACTTCTTCAGTGTGTGAGTGGAATAATGTTTGTTGTCTAACATCGTAGTATGTAGACATATCAATTTGAAATACGAAAGGAAATTGCCATATTTGGTTATAAGATTGATTTACTACATAAATGTTATAAAGATATTGACTTACTATTAAGCAGAAATCTCTATTTTAATAAAATAATATAATACATAGAAGTTGTATCTGTAACATAATACCAGTTGCTTTTCCTTAAGAAAAATTATGTGTAAAGGGAGATTACTGTTATTATTCAAAATGTGACTATCCTGCATTTCTTTTTTATGCCCCTGTCCTGCCGTGGCGGAGGGGGTATTAAGGTTTTACCTTTGTCCGTCTGTACGTCCGTTTCCACACTGTAAATTTACTTTGCCTCAATCAAGTTTGAATTTGGATTACCTCAACCAAATGTTATAAAACTTATACTCAATGCTTATTACCACCAAATGCAGATCAAGTTTGAATTTGGGTGGCGTCACTTTCACTGTTCTCGAGTTATGTCCCTTTATAAATGGAAAAATTGCTAAATTTGTCGTTTTCACACTCTAACTTTAGTCTTTAGTTTGCCTCAACCAAATGTTATAAAACTTATACACAATGCTTATTACCAACAAACACAGATCAAGTTTGAATTTGGGTTGCGTCTTTTGAACAAAAAAAGGCATCGGTTGGGACTGGTATTTTTCTCGATCACAACTTTATATGATATGATTTGACATATATATTTTGATATTTAGTTGAAGGGTTCATAAAGGTTTAAGCTGTGTTAAGCAATATTTGCAAAATATCTTTTTCTTATGTACCTAAGTAAACCAAGTTTAACCTTTCTAAAAAGGTATGGAGTGCTTTGCATTATCATAAATTACGTCAAAATGTGTCTTGAATAAACATACTGTAATTATATTCCTTATCTGCCGCATTTGATATTTCCTCCTGTGTGGTACCGGTACATATGTCTATATTTCAATGTAGCCAAAGGAACCTTAGCCAAATTGTGATGCAGCCAATCAGAACCGATATTTGTTATATATATAAGAAATAATTTCAAGATGGCAGAATATCGAATGAAACTTATAGCTTCACACAGTGTATATGAATTTGACGCGCCTAGTCAGTTTTCCTACCTAAGGTGGGTGGTTCTCTCCGGGCACTCCGGCTTCCTCCACCAATAAAAACTGACTGCCACAAAATAGCACAATAGTGTTGAAAGTGGCGATAAACACCAATCAACCAATCAATCAATATACCAAGGTAAACCAGTAAAGGCAAAATTATTCATAAATCAGGTATCGAATCAGATCTTGAATACCCATATTGAATTTTTCTGTATTTAATATCTTCTCCTGTCTGGTACATGTTCCCAATTTTATATCCCATTCTATCCAATAGAATTTTTCAAAAATCATAAGGCAACCAATGAGAACCGATCTTTGTTACGTAATAATTCCAAGATGGCGTGAATATTGTATGAAACTTATAGCTTCGCACTGTGATGCAAAGCAATAATGACATGATACAACTAGTCTTTTCAGTGTTTCCTATAAAAAATTTCTTAAACATTTTGCACGAAAAATATCCTTATATGTAGCTTATTAACCATCTATGTGTTCCACTTGCACACATCACCTTCTTTCCTAAATTTCAATTTGTCAATGATCTGATATGCGACCTAACACAAGAAATATTATGGTCAGGAATTTGGGCATGTCTAATGTCTACTGTTATTTCACCCTAGCGGTTGTCTGAAATATGTGTAGCATAAGCCATACTATAATAGAAAAGAAAAGATGTTTTTTACCAATTAATGACACATAATCACTTCAAGCAAATGAAAAAATCTGAAAGCAAAGAAACACTTTCTCATCTAAAAGTTGCAGTGAGGCCTTCAACATGGAGCATAACTCTGACCTCACTGTAATTTTAAGTTTAAGACCGTTCCTAACACTAGTTTGAGCAGAATTATTTACTTGATGTTGGTTGCACTACATCAGTACATTGAAGAGCATAGCTGTGAGTTAACATCAACTAATTATGAATTATATCTGGCAAACAATTAATTGTAATGTAGTACAAACATTTTGACAAGGTTTTTTATCCGAAGATGTCACATTAAACTGTAAGACTTCAAAAAATAGTTCCACTACATGCAGTTTGCTGTTAGTGCGATATGCAAAACAAAACAAAAATTAATATTCATGTCTTATACAGGTACTCAAGATTTGACAAGGCATTTTTATTGGCTGTAGATATTGGTTCAAGGGATTTATTTATGGTAAGCATTGGTACAGAATGGTAGGGAAAGGTCAATATGATACAAAAAGGTTCTTATAAAAAAATAACAGTTAGAAAATATGAATAGTGAATTGTTGAACATTTCCAAGCAAGTAAATCAAGATAATACGGTACAAATGATGGATCTGATACACATATTGAAAACAAGTCATGTTTCCATACACAACAGTTTTATACTTTCAGAGCATGATTAGAACAAAACAGTTTTAATAATACATTTGTTTTATATGATATTTTCCCACTATAATTGACAATCACTCAAATCTGCTTGATTATTTATAAAAATTATAAGCTCTCCTTGACCATTTACCCTTTTCCTTTAAGCATAAATAATTGGCTCTTATTTTCTATGTAAGAACATGAAAATAAAAACATTTGGTTGTCTTTGACTACATGAGTTTGTGAGTAAGATAATTTTTTCGAAATACTAAGGATTTTCTACCGTAGGAATAGATTAACTCAGCTGTATTTGGCAAAACCTTTCAGAATTGCAAGTCCTCAATGCTCTTCAATTTTGTACTTTAACTTGCCTTTTTAACTTTTTTTGATTCAAGCGTCACTGATGAGTCTTTGTAGACGAAACATGCATCTGGAGTACAAAATTTAAATCCTTGTATCTATGATGAGTTTATTGACTGAGAAGTGTTTAGAAAAGACTTCAGGGGTTGGTCATTCTCGTGTGGATTAAAACTTCACAGCTTATCCTTGAATGAAAATTGTGTGTCTTATTATACAATGTGAAAATGAGTACTAACAAAGAAGCAAGAAAAGAGAAAAATATTACTGTTTATCTATATTCTTGTCTACATAATAAGTTATATCTACTTTAGATTGGACAAACAGTAGTGACTTAAAGTTTCTATTCTAAATACAGATTGTATGTATAAGTGCACCATGGAGACAACTTATGCTTTAGCAAAGCTGAATAACATATATAGTTATTTATGTCTCGAATGATATACAGTTCCTTACTCAAATTTGTCTTATTGATAGGATATACATTACATGGCATTAGATAAAGGAGAAACAGCATTGGCAGAAGTGGCGAAGAGGAAGGCAGAACAGATTGAATCAGAATCATTGGGTAATTTGATATTACTTTTCAGACAAATGGATTACTTTATTTAAAGTATTTGATCAAAGTAATTTTTTCTTTTTATTTGAATGACATCACATGAAAAAAATGAAAAAAGCACAAACTAGTGCATTGGTTTTATATCTGCATACATGGTTTTTGGATTCACAGACTACACAATTATCAAATGAATTATATATGCACTGAGTGTTGTTGGTGATGGATACCACATTGTTTTATATTGCACAGATTCATTTGATGACTATGATGATGATTTTGTGGATAATGGATTTCACCAGTTAAACCAGCAACATCAAAATGAGGTATTTTATATAGATTAGATTGTTAAGTTTTTTTTAAAAGAAGGCACTTTAAAATTGTTGGGGAACTGATGGTTTAAAATTTAATGTTTTCAAGAGCAGCTTTAACTTATAACTGCAAGTGTTCAATTTTATGAAAATCTCAGTTAAGTTCAAATCATCAATTGATACTGTTAATAATATGTCTATACAATATGCCAATCTCTTAATCACCAAGAGTCTTACATAAAATGGTCAGAAACTTTCAAAGATCTGCCATCAACACCAAATTTTCCAAATAAAAAATGATATTAAGATAAGACATAAGTCAACCAGCCAATGACAAGGTTCCTTAATTGGGATAGGAACAGGAATATATGGCAGGGTTAAAATAGTTATATGAGATCTCAACCTTACCATTTTCAATCTTGCTCGGTGGACTAATTTTAAGATACATCAAAGAACCAACAATAAAAATAAGTTCAAGAATAGTACTTTTGTCCATAATAACAATATAAAAGATTACCAAAACCGTTTAAAAGCAATAATACTAAACTATACCTTGTCCAATAATGCTTGTGGTTATTGAAAGCAAGCATACAGTACTTAGCCTGCTGATATGAAATCATGTTGTCCTACAATCTATAAATATTGGGGCTTACTTAACAGTAGATTGCATACAGCAAGGTCATACACAGTACAGGAGGACATCATCTTGTGCAATGCACATAACAAATCTCTATTCAATTTCAAGTCTGTTTAGAATTTTCTTTGTTTTGATAAGATTTGATCAAATAGATAAAATATAACCATTTTTTTTTTCATTTAAAGGGACACTTGTCTAATGGAGATTTAAGGAATGGTGGTGTACATAATGGCTTCAATTCACATCACAGTAATGCCAACAGGGGAGGTAATATAGCAAATGGAGAAAACAGATCTAGTCATGTGTAAGTATTGCTCAAAATTACAATGAAAATTAAAACATATGTTAATTCTTTTCTTTTATTTATATAAAACGATACACTTTAGCATATTAAAATCATTTTTCATGCTTACACTTTGTCTCATTTAAACAGATTTAATATAAGTGTACTCTCAAAGAATGCTCTTTTTAGATCACCTGGCCCTGTGGGCCACATGACCCTTTGCCATCACTTGGCATCCTATGTTGCTGTCATCATAAATGTTTTAAAAAATATTCTTTACTGTATCAATTTCAACCAAATTAAAGAGGGATGATCCACAGAGTATCAAGTATTAAGTATTTTGGTTTTGGTTCCTGCCAATCAACCAACAGGGCCCCATGACTAAAAATAGAGCACAAAGGGAAAATGCATTAATTTGATTATAACTTAAAAACCATAATAAAAATAGAAAAACAGAAAGGACAAAAAGTCTCAAAATAATATGATCTACCCATTTCTTGAAAAAAGGTCAGATGAATCTTTATAGGAGGTACTGCCATTAAAAGACTATTTTTTACTACTTTTCGAGGTTTGTCTATTATCTCAAAAACTATAATACATAAGTGGAAACTGTAAACAGCAAAAAGGTTCAGCTATAGAAAGATCTACTAATATACCATTATGTCTGTAACCATTGGTGGACTTGGTATTGGAGCAATTGCTCTTAAATGAGGATTCATGACTAATTTTCCAATGTTTGCCTATTACATTCCAAAACTACAGTTGGTAGGTAGCATCTGTAAACAGCAATCATTATCAGCAATACAAATCCACAAACATACCAATTAGACTAAAACCATTGGGGGACTCTTTAAATGAGTTATTTCCCTTTTAAATGACGACTTTTGACTAGTTTTCAAATTTTTGCCCATATCTTAAAATATAAAAGATATGTAGAAACTATAAATAACAAAAATAATCAGCATACAAGATCTGCAAGAATGGCAATATGACCACAACCTTTGGATGACTTCTTATGAAATATTGCCCTTAAATGACAATTTTTTGACAAAAGAGCTGGTTCACTAACTCATAAAAATATAACTTGGCCTTTAAAATCTGAAAATTTTAACTACATATTGGTGTGAAAATGTGATGAAAACATATGTTAAAATGTCTAGTTGTTTCAGTTAAAGAAGATTTTCACCAATAGTGTCATTAGTGATGAATTTGTAATGTCATAAATGTTGGTGAATTTCTTTACAGACAGGTTTTTTTTTAATAAACAGTGGGGCCACCACTAGCCCATGAATATTTTTGCTGAAATATACCATATTTATTACTTTTAAATCAAAATTTCAATAGATGAGGTGTAGCACCACATATGAAATCATGAAAAAAGGTAAAACAGGTGACAAACTTCTAGAAAATGGACTGAAGTGAAATCTATTCCTATTTCAAAGCAGAAATACAGTTTTTATACGCCCGTTTACGGGACGTATTATGGTATACCTCTGTCCGTCCATCCGTCCGTCTGTCTGTCCGTCGTCAACATGTCGGACATTAACTCAAAAACGCTTTAACCAATTTGCATAAAACTTTGGTGAATTGTTTATATCTATTGACGTGAGCTTCCTTTCGTTTTTTTATAAATTTTAGATTTTACGTTTCCGAGTTATGGGGTTTTATTTATTAATAAAAGGGGGATTTTCCAGTTTTCGGACAATAACTCAAGAATGCTTTCACCAACTTGCAAGAAATTGTGGTGAATTGTTTATATCTATTGACATGAGCTCCCTTTCGATTTTTATAAATTTTAGATTTTACGTTTCTGAGTTACAGGGTTTTTGTCGAGCCTGCGACTTTTGTCGCAGAAAGCTCGACATAGGGATAGCGATCCGGCGGCGGCGGCGGCGGCTACGGCGGCGGCGGCTACGGCGGCGGCGGCGGCGGCGGCGTTAGCTAACTTCTTAAAAGCTTTATATTTTAGAAGATGGAAGACCTGGATGCTTCATACTTTGTATATGGATGCCTCATGTTACGAAGTTTCCGTCAGTCACATGTCCAATGTCCTTGACCTCATTTTCATGGTTCAGTGACTACTTGAAAAAAAAGTTCAGATTTTTTGTAATGTTAAATTCTCTCTTATTATAAGTAATAGGATAACTATATTGGGTATGTGCGTACCTTGCAAGGTCCTCATGCCTGTCAGACAGTTTTCACTTGACCTCGACCTCATTTCATGGATCAGTGAACAAGGTTAAGTTTTCGTGGTCAAGTCCATATCTCAGATACTATAAGCAATAGGTCTAGTATATTCGGTGTATGGAAGGACTGTAAGGTGTACATGTCCAACTGGCAGGTGTCATCTGACCTTGACCTCATTTTCATGGTTCAGTGGTTATAGTTAAGTTTTTGTGTTTTGGTCTGTTTTTCTTATACTGTATGCAATAGGTCTACTATATTTGGTGTATGGAATGATTGTAAGGTGTACATGTCTAGCTGGCAGGTGTCATCTGACCTTGACCTCATTTTCATGGTTCAGTGGTCAAAGTTAAGTTTTTGAGTTTTGGTCTTTCTTTCTAATACTGCATGCAATAGGTCAGCTATATTTGGTGTATGGAATGATTGTAAGGTGTACATGTCTAGCTGGCAGGTGTCGTCTTACCTTGACCTCATTTTCATGGTTCAGTGGTCAAAGTTAAGTTTTTGAGTTTTGGTCTTTTTTTCTAATACTATATGCAATAGTTCAACTATATTTGGTGTATGGAAATATTTTATGATCTATATGTCAGTTACGCAGGATTTATTTGACCTTGACCTCATTTTCAAGGTTCATTGCTCAGTGTTAAGTTTTTGTGTTTTCGTCTGTTTTTCTTAAACTATAAGCAATAGGTCAACTATATTTGTTGTATGGAAGAATTGTTAGCTGTACATGCCTGCCTAGCATGGTTCATCTGACCTTGACCTCATTTTCATGGTTCATTGGTCAATGTTTAGTTTTCTTGGTTAATGTTAAGTTTATGTGACAGTTGTAATAAAGCTTTATATTTAGGACTATCAACATAATATCAATGATTAGTAAAGAAGGCGAGACATTTCAGCGTGTGCACTCTTGTATTAAAAAAAAGGGGGATTTTTTAGTTTTCGGACAAAAACTCAAAAATGCTTTCAGCAGTTCTTATGAAACTTTGGTGAATTGTTTATATCTATTGATGTAAGCTCCCTTTAGAATTTTATAGATTTTACATTTTACATTTCTGAGTTATGGGGTTTTATTCATTAAAAAAGGAGGGATTTTCCAGTTTTAGGACAATAACTCAAAAATGCTGTCAGCAATTCTCATGAAACTTTGGTGAATTGTTTATATCTATTGATGTAAGCTCCCTTTTGATTTTCATAAATTTCTAATATGATATTGAGAATTAATTGAACTTTATTTGTTTTATAGTCTGACAACAGATTTTCTTAGTATTGCGCAACAGCTCAGTGTATTGCACAACAGCAAGAAATCTTTAATTGAATATAAATTCAATTCATTAACCAATTTCAAGTTCTTTGACTACATTTATTCAGAAACCTGTAATATGTCAAATATTTAATTACAATCAAAATTCAGACCTGTATCAAGCTTGAATATTGTGTCCATTTTTTACCCAACTGTTCAGGCTTGGACCTCTGCAGGCGTATCCATCTGCGCTCAGCAAAGCAGTTTATTCTTATAACATGTATAATTTCAAAAATAATACATTTAGCAAAACATACACATTAGATAATTTACATAAACAATTGTAACCAGCTTGAAAAATGCACCTTCACAGGGCCGTTTATGATGGTTACAGGCCTTACTCCTTTCATGTTTATGCCTATTCTCTCAATAACTGTACCCAGCAAAAACGATCAGCAATACAAGATTTACATTCTACAAAAATTCTAAAATGACTAAAACCATTGGTTGACACCTTAAAGAAGTAATTGCCCTTAAAAGACGTTTTTTGACTTATTTTAAATTATTTGTCTTTTATCTCAAATACTGTAATAGATGGGTAGTAGTAACTAGTAACTTTAACTTAAAACATGATCACCAATACAAGATCGACTAATTAGCATGATGACTGAAATCATTTCACGACA